TTCAACTACACTATTATGCTACGATGTTCCAGGTTTTGTCATCTCATGTATGATCATATGCTTTGAACAATACTATTTAAAGTTTTTGGATGTGTATTCCTTACCACTATCAGTCTAAATACACTTCAAAGATAACTTTGTCATCTTTTTCACCATGACATGAAATTTTAAAAAATATTGCAATACCTGACTTTTATTTTTTAACATATACACCCAAGTTTTACATGAAGTATCATCAATAAAAGTAATAAAATATCTACTACCAACTAATTACTCAACCTCAATAGGATCACATACATCAGAATAAATCAATTCCAATCTATTTTCTTTTCTCTAAAAACTCTTATGAAAAGAAACTCTTCGATGCTTACCAAATAAACAATAATCATATGAATCAAGAGATATACCTTTGGTCAAAAAAATAAGCAACTGTCTTGCCAAAACCTGTAATCCCTTCTCACTCATGTGTGCCAGCCTCTTATGCCACAAGTTTACTGAAGTTTCATCTTCAATAGCATTTACCTGGTTACCGTTCAATTACATCCATGTCTTATACATTTTGCATTATATTTTTTCCTTACAACTACCATAAATCCTTTGAGATGCTTCCACTGCCCATTCTTTTGTTGACTCTTATATCCTTTTTCATCAAGGACATTAATAGCAAGTAAGTTCATTCTCATATCCAGAATGTGTCTAACATCCCTTAGAGTCAACATGTAGCCTGTACTAATTTGTACAACAATATCATCAATCTCAACAATCTATGACACATTTTTGTTTTCCATCTTGGTACAACCAAAGTCTCATACTTTGTAAGTTGTAAACAACTCTTTCTTAGGAACACAATGATATATCGTTCATGTGTCAACTATCCACTCAATGTCGAGATCACCAACATGATTACAATCACCAAGTGTATAAATCAAAATAACTAAATCGCTATCTGAATTCACCGTTGCAACATTGCTATCATCTAAACTCTTGCCTTTCTCATCTTTCTATTTTTGCTTTAAGATTTTATAGTGTCATTTTATATGACCTGATTTGTCACAATGAAAACATTTCACTTTATCTCTAGACTTGGATCTATGTTTAAACTTTCTACAATCTTTTGAGTTCTGACATCTGTCATATTTTTACCCCTATTATTTATGATCATAGCTTAATTCTCAGGGTCTACATCTTTTTATCTTATTTCTTCATTAAGCATACCATCATTTACTATCTGTAATGTCACTTTGTAATCAGGAGCTGAATTAAGAACAATCACAACTAGAGTATTTCAACTGTTTGGCAATGAATCCAAAAGAAACAATGCCTTTATTTCATCATCCATCTTAAGCTCCATAATAGTCATTCGATTAAATAAATCTTGAAAATCACTTAAGTGCTTTGTAATAGATCATCCATCCATATACTATAAAGTTACAAGTTTTTTAACAAGCATAACTTTATTCATACCTATTTTTCTCACATACAATGATGCTAATTTTTTTCAAACAATGTGAGCATCTACCTCCTGCGTTACATGATGGAATACACTAATATCAACCTATTTTTTGATTGTAGCCAACATCTTTCTACCTAGCTTTTTTCAGTTTTTATCTTTCATATATGTTAATTTAGCTAAATCACTCAATATCGGCTCATACAAATCTTTGCATTATAAATGATCTTCTATCATAAGCTTCTAAATTGAATAATTTGATGCTGTCAATTTTATCATAGAATCTGTATCACTCTCCATGATCTCAAATAAAATTTACTTCTATTTTGGGCTCTTTCTTATCGATGTCTCAGAATAACATTCACTTTGATATCATTTGTTAGGCCTGAAGCAATAATCACAACAATACACAAGCAATATATCGTAATAAATGTATATCAATAAACAATAATCCATAATAAAAAACGCAGGAAAAATAAAACACATCAAGATTTATGTAAAAAACCCTCTAATGTAAAGGGAAAAAACTATAGACCATCAAAAAAATCTCCACTATCAAATAATATATATACAAAGTTCTTCTCTAGCTAAAACTAGAGCTAATCAACAACTAGAGAGACAATTGGAGAAATCTCACCAAATAAGTTACTCAACAAATATACATTGAATTTATTCATAGAGAATTTTAAACTGGATCTTAACCGTTCAAAATGTAGAATTCTAAATCATAAACATGCTGACAAAGTTTTAACTTAATCTGACTGCGAATCGATTTTCGTTCAACAAACTCTCCTTTCTCCTTTTTTTTCTCTATTTTTCTTGGCTTTTTTCTTTCTCTTCTTGATTTGCGACTCCACCTTAAAACAACCTTATCTTTTTTATTAAGTAATTAGGGCTTGTATAAAAAAAAAGATCAAGGCCGTACCTTTGATTGGTCCAAAACCAATTTCATAGGGCTTGACCCCATTTTCCTAACAGAAATGTAGGTTGAAAATTGCAATAGATTTAGCTAATGCAATTGCGTATCTCCACACTGCATTTTCTAGACCAGTTATTCATCACGATATTCAATCTTCAAGTATCATAGCGGATCAGAACAATGTTCCCAAACTCGTTGACTTTGCACTATGTATATCTATTCCAGAAGGCCAAACACATGTCATGGATGCCGTTTTAGGTAGAACAGCGTATATTGCACCTGAATATTGTGCTAGAGGTTATTTAACAGAGAAGGTTGATGGTTATCATTTTGGAATGCTTCTATTTCAGCTTTTAAGTGGACAGACTCCATCATTTTACTTATTTACAGCGCATTATATACTGGATAGTGCGATTCACTCTGTTGAAAAGCTCAGTAATGTTGTCGATCGAAAGACAGCAAACGAAGGAATCGAGGCAGAGCAGTTGCTGGGTTTTGCAAGACTTATCCTCATCTGCATCTCTGATGATGGTGAAAAGAGGCCAACAATGGTCGAGGTGGCCAAAGAACTCAGGCGAATTGATCAGTCTTTTCCATCACCTTGTTAGCCTAGCCCCATCTGGTTTTATTATTTCTCGGTAGCTGAAAGAATCTTGTAAGTTGTAGTTGTATGCTTGGTTCTCTTAGCCATTGATTTATGATGAAACTTAGCCTGCCTGTATGGTTCTGTAGTTATAACAAACGGGGCAATGTCAATTAAGTCAAACAAATGTACGGTTGTTATTTTAGCATTTTGTTATGAAAGTTCATTAGTTTACCTACTTCTTTAATCTGTTTGCATAGAGATAACAATTTCAGCTGAAGCAGCTTGAGAAGCCTGTTGTGGTAACAAAATTTTCTTTGTTGGAATTCTCATCCGATTGAATGTAGGATGCAGCAAGGTTCCAATTGTATGTTGAATTTTGGAATTACATTTATTAACGGATTTCAAAGAAAGATTTTTCCATTTTGATGATCTTTATACAAATGTATCAATGCAGGAAACATGTTAATTATTTAACCATTTGCTTTGAGCTTGCAGAAAATAACTCGAGAAACCATCCAAGTAAACAATCAAGTACTAGGCCATCTCAGAAATTGCTTTGGTATCAAAACTAATTCTGATATTGCATCAGTTTTTGAATCTATAAATAATTGGACTAAAAAGAGAAACGAGGAGATTTCCATTGAATCAATTTGTTTACTTAATGCCATCACATTGTGTTTCATCTGCATGAAATCTTAGAACAAGAAGATTTTTTTTATACAAAGGAATCGCAGAATGGAGATAAAGGGAAGAGGTTGCATGTGCTAAAATTAGAATTCTAGATCTGCTTGATGCTACCACGTAAGAATGATTGCATGAATTAAGCTCCGAGTTCTTAGAACAAGAAGATTTAAATTCAAACCAAATTAACCTTAGTTTCATTCCCTAGTTTTCAGTCTTGTATACTATAATCAAGTTATACAATTACAGAAGAGAAAGTTCAAGGAAGCGGCCTAGCCTATACGCCATGTACGATGGAAACATCCTGTAGGGCCGGCTACCTTACCTCATGACTTTAATTCAAACTAAAATAACCTTAGTTGGCATCACTTTAATGCAAGTACCAAAGAGAAGTTCCAGGAAGCTGCCCAGCCTTTATGAAGGAAATTCCTGTAGGCAAGCTTACCGTATGACTTTGCCTTTTCTTCTTAAATAATCAAACTACTGGTGGATCTTTTCTGTTGACCCGTACGACTTAAACTGCTGCAGGTTTTACTTGCTGCTAATTTTGTTCAATTTTGCAGATATTGCTCTGAGTTCTTGGATCTCACAATTCCTGATTTAGTATTGAAAATTCCCAGGTCCATTTTTCATTTTTCCCTTCACGTTCCTATTTTCTTGTATTTTTCTTATTCAGCTTGTCCTTTCACCTTTATCAGTTCTTTAACCTTTGTTTCTATTCAGCTGCTCTAGTCCTGCTGGGTGGCTAATTGTAGTTTTTTTTTGCTCTAATTTACTCTGTAGATTATGAAACTAACTTTTGTGAATAAAGGTGCCAGATTCTTAAAAAGGGCCTGTTAAATTTTAAGAAGGTAAATGGGACTTTTTCCTTATCAAGAACCTTAGAAGCTTGGAACGAGTCTTGCTAGGAAATAGGAGTAGTGGATTATAACAAATTAACTCAGACAAAATCTATCCAGTGAAGATTAAAAACAAGAAAAAAAAAGAAACAACTCATGCAAATCTTTGATTAGGATGTTCAATGCTCAAATGACGTAAACTAATGAGTGTGAGAGTGATGATGTCAGGTTAACTTCCTTGTGTATGTGTGTTTTTTAATGGATAAATGTTACAAACTCTTTGGTTTCCAACTACATATTCTCAGGGTCCTTTCATTGGAGCATAAATGTTCTGATAGCCTCTGGTTAGCTTTATTCCTATGCTTCAAACTGAAAAATATAGTTTTTTGCTTTCCAGAATGAACAAAAGTAAAAAAAAAAAAAAAAAAAAAAAAAAAAACACACAGAAATGATAGGTTATCCCAATTTACAATATTGCAATCTGTTGATTAATTTCATCATTTTTTTTCAATCAACTTTCTTCTAACTTTTCATGAGATTGTACATTACATGGTACATACTTCTTTACTATCCTGTTGGTAATTTATATAATGTTCAGGTGTTAGGCAAGATGATTTCATGTTTAAAAGTGAAGAGACATGACAAAGATGAGACTGAAGAAGGTGATAAGACATTTTTCACAAAAAATGGAGGGGCTTTATTAGAGGAGCTTATTGCCCTCCGTAATGGCAAATCTAATCCTATCCGTCGTTTCTCTGCGAAAGAGCTTCTTATAGCAACAAACAACTATCATGGATGCCAGATTTTTGTGAAAGACTGTGGTTATCAATTGTACAAAGGGTCCCTGAAGGACCGTCCCATTGTTGTGAAGACGTATGGGAATGACCAACATCCAAGGGCTAAATTTGCAGGCACAGCCAACCCTTACAAAGATATTGCCATCGGATCACAAATGAGTGTTCACAACAATGTTTTAAAAGTTATAGGATGCTGCTTGGAGACCCAACAACCAACTGTAGTATATGAATTTGTTGGAACAAAAAGCCTCTCCACATGCATCTCTGCTACTAATAATGTTGAGCCACTACCATGGAAATGCAGGTTGAAAATTGCAAAAGATTTAGCTAATGCAATTGCGTATCTCCACACTGCATTTTCTAGACCAGTTATTCATCGAGATATTAAGTCCTCAAATATCATATTGGATCAGAACAATGTTCCCAAGATCACTGATTTCGGACTATCTATATCTATTCCTGAAGGGCAATTGCATGTACAGTGTGGCAGTGCACCAGGGATAAAAAAATTTATTCCACCTGAATATTTAGTCAGTGGTTATCTAACAGAGAAGGTTGACGTTTATAATTTCGGAATGCTTCTGTTTGAGCTTTTGAGTGGACAGGAGCCATCGTATTACTTATTTAAGGTGGGTAATGTACTGCATAGTAGGAGTCGCTGTGTTGAAAAGCTCGGTGATGTTGTCGATTGTAGAATAAGAAATGAAGGATTTCGGCTGGAGCAGTTTCAGGGTTTTAACACACTTCTCCTTAGATGCATTTCCCATGATGAAGAAGAGAGGCCAACCATGACCGAGGTTGCCAAAGAACTCAGACTAATTCATCAGAATCTTTCCAACACCTTGTTATAGCCTAGCTATAGCCCCATCATCAGTAGCTGAAAAAGTCTTGTAAGATTCTTTTCTTCTAACAAAGCCAGTGGCCTGGTTGCTCCACTGGGGAAATTTAATTATAGCACTTCCAGACTGTGGCATTTAGTATCAAAATTCATTAGTTTACCAGTAGTTCTTTAAATCTGTTTGAGTATAGATTTAAACTGAAGCAGCTTTAAAACTATGGTAATAAAATTCTAGATTCTTTGTTGAAATTCTCACTTGATTGAATGAAGAATAACATGTTTTTTGGCCAAAAGATACAGCAAGGTTCATTATGCAGACATTTGCAGATATTCAACCAAGAAATCAAAGTGACTCAAAGTGATGAGAAATTTGAGTAACATCGGATCCACCTATTTTATAAAATTATAACTATTGCCATAGATTTACGATTTCCCTGCCTATTCTCCATGTGAAGTAGCTATATCAATATCTCTAGGGTTCTTTGCAATAGGTCTCACCACCCCAACTTGAAAAAACAAAACATGGCTAATTCTCCCAAGTGCTCAACAGCTGATCGACTGAATCTATCGGACAAATGGAGGAATATGCATTTTGCGAGAACACTTTCAACCAAAACATTAAAGGTTCTAGAGCTGATATTACAGCTTTAACACAAATAACAATAGAGCAAGCCACCAGCAATGCAACCAACATACAGTTTCATCGTTGGACTTCTCGAAAAGATGAATGATCCAGCGGAGAAGAACGCTTGCAACCTGGGAAATAGTGATGACTAGTTTCCAACAAGCAGCAGTGGGTTTTTTTTTTTTTTTTTAGAAAGAATATAACAGCATGTTACAGTCTGAAAGACCAGCACCTAGAGCACAAGCTAGTTGCACCTCTAGTTTTAACACTCCACCAAATCCTCCTAACCCTGTTGGGGATAGATACAGGCAAATGAGGATCTTAATTGCCATGGCCGTAGCTTCTGGAACTGATCTTACCTCTGGACACAAGAAAACCTTATAATGTCTCTATTGGTTCTTACCTTATTCTCCCTCAAATGCCCAAAAAAAAAAAGTAAATTAATAAAGGAGCACAATAACTTCTTTGTCTAGATATGTTTCCAAAATGATTTCAGCAAAGACCAACGTCTTTAATATTGCAAATTTTCCCAGACTTGCTGGTTTCTGTCATATCCTTAATAATTAGAATACTCATTCTAGGTTCCAAGGCCAAAGTTTGGAACAATTGAATGTTATAATCTCATATACCAAAAACCAAAAGAATACATGTTCCTTCTTACTGCATTCTTTTCGACATTAATTCATCTTCAAAGCAAAAGAATTTTTTTCGTCATTCTTGACAATTGTTCTAGCCCTATTCCCAGCTACTTCAACTGTAATACCCAGCCCAAATGATACTTGAGTTAGACTAATATCAAAGCTCATCAATTTATTAAGAGATTAATTAGTAAAAAAAAAAGCTGAGGTATTAAATGAAAAAAAACTTAGCCATGGAAAAAAGAAAGAAAATAAGAGTTTTTCTTCCTCATCTTCTTAGGTTAAAGAATATAAAAAATCAAGTTGACGATTCAAAATCAAAGACTATAATCAAGTTAATCCTTCAAAGGTGAGTATATGTCATCTTTTTATTTAAAAAAAATATCATGATTTATTAATGATTATTGAATAGAGTTTAAAGGCTGAAAGTTAAGATTTGAATTTTTAAAGATTGAAAGAGAAATTATGTTTTTGGATGAGATGCTATGAATTATAATAGTGAATTAAAATAGAATTCTGTATTAATGGATAAATTATTGCTATGATGATTAGATATCGTTGGAAAGCATGTTGAATCTACTTTCTAATGAAACAAGCGGGAGTTGAATTCGAGTTTTTTATGAAGAATTATCTAATTTTTACCTAAAGATATGCAAGCTACCTAGTAGCAGCAACAGGGAGGAATTTCAAAATTCCTTTTAATTTTTATACTAAGATTTACAAATTAAGTCATATATGTTTGGAAAGCTTATTTAGTCTACTTTCCAATGAAATAAGCGGAATTGAATTTGAAGTTTCTTATGAATAAATAAGTAATTTTTATGAGAAGGTATACAGGCTGTTTAGCAGCAACATATGACGTAGATTACAAAAATTGTTATAATTAATCCACAAGGAATCACGAGATGGGCTATATATGGTTAAAAAGTTTATCGAGTCTAATTTCTAACGCATTAAAAAGATTTTAATTCTGAATTGGATATCTTGAGATATGATTGTTTTAATAAAAGTAGCGCAAGCTGTCAGAATTAGTTACTTGAGTTATTTCTTGTTTAACCTAATTATTTTGGTATAAGTAATATCAAATAAGTTGATTAATTACTATTATATTGAAATTATCTTAAATAAACCGTTAATTATTTGGAGAGAAAAACTAAGTGGTAGAATCGGAATGAGGTAAGTAGAATTTCACACACTTTACTTGTTTTTGAATATATATATATATGTATGTTTCTAAAGGAATAAATATTTTATTTCTCTATTTTTTATATATGAAAATAGGATCAAGCATATGATTATCTTATACATTTGCTATGTAAATGATGGATCATACTTATGAATGAAATGAGAAAATGATTTATGTTTAAAAATAATTTTATGATAACTATGTTTTTATATTCCTAATAAGTGGGATCATCGACACTAGAATTAGTTCTACGGCCTTGGCTAAAGGGTTATAGTAATTAGCATAGACATGATCATACGGCCCTACTAATGGGTTATAGTAGTTAGCGTAAGGTCATGGCTAGCGGGTTATAATAGTTAACAATGATCATCAGGATAAAATTGTCGATACGATCAATCTTATGGGTTATAGTAATAACCGTAACTAACGATAAATGAATGATAATGATGATTTATGATGAATAATTTTTATAAATTTATCCATGATTTGGTGACATTTTGATATCGATTTATGAATTTACGAAATATTTGATAGAATAATGATTTTTGAAATACTTTGACATTATGATTTGATAAATGTTTTGAATGATTTACATGATATGTATGAAAATGATATTTGATCCGATAAAGTGCGTGAGCTTTTACTTACTGAGCTGTGATTTACTCTTTTTTTTTTTTTTACAGATATTATGAATAATAAGTATGATTAGTCTTGAGAAGAGCTAGAAGAATCGAGCATTAGAGAACTACTTAAAAATTAGGATTTTATGAAATATTGTTTCTTTTAGTTATAATACTCGATTTTGAACCTTTAGAGGCTTGTTATTTAATTATTTTACTTATTAAAAATCTTATTTTAGTTAAAATTTTTTTAATGATTATGAATTAAGCTTCGTATTATTTTAAAATTTTACTTTAATGTAATATAATCGTGTTATGTCTCGATCTCGGACCGTTACATAAACCGTGTAGGATGACAAGAGCTATGAAATTGCAGTATCAGAAGAAAATTACATACCCTTCTTGGCTTCTTTGCGTGCGATGAAATATATATATATATGAGAAAGGAATTGTTTGAACAGAATATCATACACCAGTTACTTTAGCCAGATGCATGATGTTCTCCCATTACAATATTGACATGCTAGTATGTGATTGTCCAATCACCTTTCTAGCTGAATGACATTTTACAATTTCATACAAAATTAAGCCATTGATTTGTGTTCTTATCGTAGTGCATTTTAAATGGCTATGGCTTCATCATGATTTTACAAATTGTAGAACTGATTAGCTTAGATCAAACACTTTAAAGTCTGCAAGTAAATTCATCTTATGCACTGAAATTAAACCCATTTTATTAATATATATTTTTTTCATTTATATGATAATTTATGTATCCACATCAATACGTTAAATACAAAATAAATTTTGACACAATTACAATCATAATGTAACTTGAAAAAAGTATCACAAAATTTGATCATTACTAAGGAATCTAGTATTTGAAGGCATAATCTCAGTCTCATCTACCACCAGAGCAGATTACTTAACACTTCTAGGGGACAAGAGGGGTGGGGGGTGGGGGCAAAGGCCAATTTGAGTCATAAATTTTGATACAAATATGATCACACACCTTCGTAGCCCCGGCCTTTCAATTTGGAAAAGGGTCATTTTTTTTCCACTCTGCCAAATCAAGTTTGTCAACTAAGACACTCAATGTGGTGATGGGAGAAAAAATAGTGTGAAACGCATTCAAACAATTCAATGTGTTCATCTTGGAAAACCATCAAAGACATTGAAAAAGTGCACATTTTCAAAGCAATTCTAAGCTTTTAAAATCTTTTCTATTTTAGATGGTAGACTATGTAGTTGGATTTTGAATACAAATATTTTATTACAAAATCTAAATCATTTTACTATGTTTGAATTATTTCAAAGCAATTGGAAGTAGCAAGTATTAATTTATCTCTATTTAAATTACTTATATATAAAAAAATATATTAGACAGATATGATTTGATTATGTTATTAGATTATTTGTGATTAAAGTTTCATTTGAATAAATGATAAAAAAATTTAATTTCAAAATAAGATAATAATATGATAAAAAAAATTTTATCGATCGTTTAAATTTAATGGATAAAACAAGATTTTGTAGTTTTTTTTTTTTTTACTGAAAGCAAAATATGAAAATAAAAAACACAAGGCAAAAATTAAATATTAATATCCAAATTAAGTATTAGTAAATAATAATTAATTAAAAAAAAAGGAAAGGAGAAAAGAGAGCTTTGCGTACGGAATTTTAACGAAGAATTAGCTTACCATTACAAAAGCATCTCTCTCTTCCCATGGTGGAGGAGGTGCCCGGGAATCACGGTCAGTCATGGCCCCACCTTTCATTGCCCACTGATCCGATGGGCCCTACTTTTCTCACCTGAACATCACTTCATCACCGTCCAATCCGATCAACCACATACCCCCCAATACTACTTTAATTAAATACTTTTATTGAATAATTATATTTGTTTAAAAAAAATAAACCAATTGGTTACATAGTTTTTTGTTATTATTTATAATGAAATTTATCTACATTAATACAACATTAAAGTTTTTTTTTCCTAATAATACAGCAATTAAGTGACTGCCTATTTTTAAAATTTTTTTTGCATATAATTTAATAAACAAAATTTGAACATAGATTCATCATATTTTGCCCATTAAATTATGTTTAAAATTTTTTTTAATAAAAATTTAAAAATAAATAAACTATTCTCTTAAATCAAAATAAAATATATCATATTTAATAATTTAAAATATGTAACTATAAATCGTGTATTTGATACGACCAATATTTAGAATCATTATTAGCTATAAAGGAAACTCCATTAAATAAGCTAAATACTAATCATTAAATCAACCAATGTTTTTTCATAAAGTGCAACTAAACTAAATTATTTGGTTTTTGTTGTCAAATATTTGTTAATATAAAGAAATTAGTGATATAAAAATAAAAAATTATAAATATTAAAATTTAAATTTAAATCTTTAAACCCTAAATTAATTGAATTAAATATCAATTTTAATTGCTAATTTTTTAATAACAACTTAATTTCTCTTTTTAATTTTTTTGGATCAATATTTTTTTGGCACTTTTTTTTTAATTATCCTCAACTTGTATGAGTTTATTTTTCAAATTTTTTTTAAAGAGAAAGGCTTTAAAGACAATACTTAAAATACAAATAAATTTTACTTAAAAAAATAAATTCAATGTTACCATTAATATTATCTTTAGTAGTAAAAATTTACATGACTAAATACGTTAACAAATAAAAACAAGAAATAGTAATAGAAGTTTCTATACGTAAGCTCATGAAAGTCTAAAAATTTCACTAAAAATTTCACCGTCATAAAATTTTTTTTACTGCAATTAAAATTGTAATTACTATTATCATTGTTCTCGATTTCTTTTTCCTTTAACCTTTTTATTTATTTTTATATAAGTATTTTATATTTTTATTTGTTCATTTTCTTTTTTTTTTTTCTTTATTCGTCATCAGATTCTTCACTGAGGCCCCAAAATCTCTTACGATCCAATCAATGCCAACTTCTCTCTAATCTTTCTTTATAAAACTTAGGGTTTTTTTTTCTCTCTTTCAAGCACTCCTCTTTAATCCGTTAGCTTTCATGTTTCCAGAATTGCCCACTCTGTAATCTTCCCCAGTTTTATTACTTTAGGGTTTTGGGTTCGATTCAGTGTCAAATTCTTGCTTTTGAGGTCTGATCAGAGCTCGAATTGGGGGGGTTTTTGATGGTCCTCTTTTTTATTGGGTGGGATTTAGGGGTTTCTTGCTAGCCGTTTGATTTGTTGACTTTAGGGATTGAATTTGTTGATGTCAGGAGATTTTGATTGGGCTTTGGAGGTGCCACCTGTAGAGGATTATTGAAGCACTGGTTGAATTTTAGAAATTTGAGATATTAGGGTTTGGTTTTTTATGTACTAATTAGAAAAAAAAGTGATCTTTTTTGGGTATGGTTTTGATTTGGTGGCTTTTAATGTATAATCATTAGGGGGTCCTCTGCTCCTTGTTGTAGAGGATCCCTATTGAAAAAAATCGAAAATTTTATGATTTTAAGTTACCAATCTTGATCAGTTCAGGTGAAAGTTATCAAGTGCTTTTAATTGCTTGAATTTTAGCGTTTTTCTTGGTGAAAACAAAGAGAAAAAGCCAAGTCGGAAATTTGTTGAATTTTAGTTTTGGTGGATTCAATAAATTATGGAGAAGATGTTTGCTTCTGGTCCAGAAACTGGCCGTATTCCAATGCGCTTTGTCTGGCCTTATGGGGGACAGAGAGTGTTTCTCAGCGGCTCCTTTACTAGGTGAGAGCTGAAAAAGTTAAAAATTTTGGTTTTTATATCGATTGCTAGGGTTATATGTTAAATTGATTATATTTAGGGTTTTTTCACTAATTTAGGTTGGATATGGCAATTGATTGTATCATTTTGTACACAGGTGGTCAGAGCATATACCCATGTCTCCAATGGAGGGTTGCCCCACTGTATTTCAAGTTATTTGTAGCTTGAGCCCTGGATATCATCAGGTTAATTGGTTTTTTATGATCATTTTCTGTAGTTCATATTGAAAAAGCCATATTTGGAACTGAATTCTAATTGATAATGTGATAGTCTTCTTGGTTTTACTAAATGTTTGTGCAGATTTGCAGATAAAATTAATGGTGAATTCTGATATTGTTTTATCTGATGCCTCAATATGTTATTGAATCTGTTAATAAAGAAGATATACAGTCCATATATCATCCCTCTGCCACATTTAAAGGAGGGGAAGAGATAGTAAACAAATATGATTCCAATTTAGTTGCATGCCAAGTTCCTAATAACCAAAGTGCAAGAAAGTATGGAAGGTGCTTTCTTAACAGTTATGTGATATTATTTGGTCCAGCCTGTTTTATATAGAAGAATTGGACCTGTTTAAGCAACATATTTAACTCTATTCACTTGTAAAGAGAACCTAAGACTAAGTTTTTAATCCTTCCTTTCCAATTGAATACTTGTGGAAATGGCACTGATGATTCACTGGAAGTAATGTTGTGTGTGCCTTTACGTTCTATTGATGAGATCCTAGTTGAGTTATTAAGTCCAGCATCCTAGAGACTATCCTGGTAATGGTAAACTAAGCTAGTTAAGCTGTAGCTTCAAATAGCTTGTCTGATACTTTTTGATGTGTTGAGATTTTGTTATCATACAAATATGACCATTTTGTAATTATTTGTATCTTTTAAAGCATGTTCTGTACTAAACCTAAGAGTTGGTGAATACATGAAGGAAAGCTCTTCGTATCTTTGCTCATCAATATGTGATTTCATGTAAATGCATGTACCCTCCTAACTCTGGCATGCATGTCTATTCCTAACACTGAAACTGATATTCAGGTTTTGTTTCTGTTTACTGGCAGTTTAAGTTTTTTGTTGATGGTGAATGGCGGCATGATGAGCATCAGCCCTTTGTAAATGGTAATTATGGTGTGGTTAACACTGTCTTTATAGCTACAGAACCAGATATGGTTCCTCCAAGTTTTAGTCCTGAGACCCCGGGAAGATCCTATATGGACGTTGATGATGTTTTTATTCGTTCGGTATGCTTTTTCTTTTTTAACACTTGGATCATTTTTGGTGTTTACATTAGTTCTTTATTAAGTTTTTGTTTAGCAGTCCTTTTTCAAGTGTTGAGGTGCGTTTTGCAAAGGAATCAGGCTGAAAATTGTTTTTTTATGTTAGAGTTTAGATGGATAAGCACTTATGTTAATTTATGGGGTAACTTGTAGGAACCAGTTCCAACAATATCAGATGCAGATTTAGAGGTCTCTCGTAATCGTATATCTGCTTTCTTGTCAGGACACACTGCATATGAGTTGCTTCCGGAGTCAGGCAAGGTTTGAATTCATTACCTTTCTCTGGGAGCTGTTTATGTGGTAATTTATTGGGGTGTCTTGAACTGTTTCTATCTGAATGTATATATTGTTGCAGGTTATTGCCTTGGATGTTAATATAGCTGTGAAGCAAGCTTTCCATATTCTGCATGAACAGGTGAATCTCATTTACTAACTCAAAAACATGCAGAAAGGAAAAGGCATGCACAGTTACTCCACATAAAGTTCCACTTCGAGTATTTCCTGTTTGCATGTCTGTCATCCATAGAGAAGATAACTTTGTAGTGCATGTGTTCTTTTTTTCTTCTTTTTATTACCTCCCTTTTCTCCTCACTATAATGTTTTGACCGTATGCTTGTCATTTGAAGTAATTCTTCCTTCTGTAGTTTGTTTTATATCATTTACTTTTTGTTTAGATCTTTTACCCATTACAACTGTGTGCAATTATCTAGGTTTTAGTCTTCACCCCGCTGATTATTAGCTCATTTATCATTTTTGTTTATTTATTCTACTTTCAGGGAATTCCCATGGCCCCTCTTTGGGATTCTTGCAAGGGCCAGTTTGTTGGAGTTCTTAGTGCATTGGACTTTATTCTTATCTTAAGAGAGGTGAGTTTGGAAGAAAAAATTTTCGGTTTTCCCTTCAAATGTTAATCTAATCTGTGATATGTATAAGGAAATCTTTATTTGTAATTGGAATAAAAATTAGCAACTTTGTTAAGGCCAATGTCCTTTTAGAGACACAGAGATGTATGAATTAGAGAAATGAACTTTCATGAAATAGATGGGTAGCTGTTACTTTCAATGGACTTGCATGAAACTAACCATACCCCTTTCTTCTTATGCTGAATTTAGAGGGTGTCCATGATTGTCAAGAGAGAGAAGGAGAATATAGGAAAGAAAAACTGGAGAGCCACCTAACAGTGGGGAGCCTCTTGTATTTATAGTAAGAGCCTAAGAGGTTGAACATACAGATCATTGTATGACAAGGATGGCAAAGAGCTTACCTATATTTGCTAGAGGCATAATGGTTTGAGTAACAATTTAAGTTCTTCTTCATTTTAAAAATATCGATGAACTCTCAATGTTTAAGAGTTATTTAACCATGAATATAAGTTTTTTTATGTAAAGATTTCCTTTTGTTCTCAATGGCTAACCATATTTTAAATCACTATAAAGCAATAGTTAAGGTTATAAAGCAATAATTAAGGTAGCATATTTCTGTATGAGTATTACTAAGGTGTTTTTTTAAACTTTCTTGCATATACTACAAGTTGAAATGTGTAATTTTGCCTTATTTGATGTAATGTTCCTTGAGTAAGTTTAACATTTATAACCCTTTGAAGGACAGTTGGGGAATCATGGTTCGAATTTGACAGAGGAAGAATTAGAGACACACACGATATCAGCTTGGAAAGAGGTAAAGGTGTACCTTAGCAGACAGATTGATGGCAATGCAGGATCATCTTCGAGGCGTCTTGTTCATGTAAGTGCTTCCATTTCCAGAATTATCTAGCATTGCTAATTCACCATTCATGTTTGCCTCTGATTTACTGTAAAGGTTCATTTTTTGGATGATTCATGAAGGTGGTGAAATTACCTAATTATTGACGTCATTCTCTGCCTATATGTTAAATGAAACTTTTAAAGTTCAACTACTTTTGGCCAGAAAGTTGAGTTGTTAACTGTTCAAATTATTAGGAGGAGCTGTTTTTACCATGTGATCTTGACCTTTTTTTTTTTTATAGTAGAGTTTTCTGGAATCTATTCATGAAAAAGAGATAGTGATTTCTTAGTCCGTGAATTCAAGATTTTGGAATGATGATTGTTTGGGTTCTCATGATACTTAGGTTATGCAATCTTGATGTTTCTCAAAAATTTAGAATAGAACAAATTTCCTATTTGTTAAGCTCTTGGAGTCTTTCCGTCATGGCCCATGTTTCTAAAGAATCTTCATTGTGCATCTGTTTATCATGTATTGACTCAAACTTGTTTGTTTAAGGTAATATCTGCCATAGGTAGAGTCCTTCGTTTGCTCTTATTTGATAGGACTTGGACCTACTGAAGTTGGAACTACTTTGGCTGCTTTTTTATCAGTACTATAACATTTAATACCATTGTATGCAGGCGGGGCCTTATGATTCTTTGAAGGATGTTGCTCTGAAGATTTTGAAAAGTAAGGTGGCTACAGTTCCCATCACTTATTCTTCATCACCAGATGGTTCATTTCCACTTCTGCTACATCTTGCCACCTTGTCTGAAATACTAAAATGTAAGCTTTTCTTTTGTTGTTGGCTGAGGACATGATTTCTTACTATTGTTGAGGGTGCACGAGTTCTTTCTAACCAGAACCTAATTTTCAGGTATATGCAGACATTTTAAACATTCTTCTAGCTCCCTGCCCATTCTTCAACAACCTATTTGTTCAATTCCCTTGGGTACTTGGGTACCAAAAATTGGGGAATCAAATGGTCGGCCGTTGGCTATGCTGCGACCAAATGCCTCTCTTGGTGCTGCCTTATCATTGTTAGTTCAAGGTCAGCTGTAGCCTTTGTGCTTAAAGCATTCTGCTGCTGATGCTGTTGTACAATAAGATAGAAATGATCACTTAGCAAGGAAAATGAAAAAGAATAGACTGTTTTAGGCATGCTTTCTTGTAATATTGAATTAGGAATGTTACTTTTTGCATCTACATCCTTTCGTTGCATGTTGAGCTTGTTACTTTGCCTTCTTGGTGAACGGTCAATGTTTAATGGGACGACTGATATGTAAGTTGTTAGTAAGTTCATTGTAGATACCACGGTTGGACATCATTGAGCAGCTATTGCTTAATTACTAGTTCTTTTATTTTTAGATGTGTTTTTTTCTCCTCCTTCCTTTAAGGTATTTTTTTCTTTTTTAAATATTTTAATGCCATTAGAATTATTATTGATTCTAGGTACTTCTGTCCCGCTTTCTCCCCACTTGCTTTGTCTTTTCCACCTTTGTTTTTGTTAATCATCTTACAATATCACACCTTGTTTTGCAGCTGAGGTAAGTTCGATACCAGTAGTGGATGAGAATGACTCATTGCTTGATATATATTCGCGAAGGTATTTCCTTTCTTTTCAACTAGGAAATTAAAATTAAGAAAAAAGAAGCTGTTGGATGTCAAACTAATAATTTATATTCCTTGACAAAACTTGTCATCTGCTTGTTTTCTTGACAGTGATATAACCGCTTTGGCAAAAGATAAAGCATATGCTCAGATTCATCTTGATGAAATGAGTATTCATCAGGTAATTGTGAAACGTCGTTTATACATGCACCGCCTGTTAGGTTAAATGCAAGTAGAGGAAGAGTTTTTCTTGCTAGCCATAATGTCCAAGCCCTTGAAATCAATTTGTAATACTCGCTCTTGCAGGCCTTGCAACTGGGTCAAGATGCAAATTCTTTCAATGGACAAAGGTGTCAGATGTGTCTTCGGTCAGATACTTTGCACAAAGTGATGGAGCGGTTGGCAAACCCTGGTATCCTTTTGATCCATACTCTTTTATTTATATTTTCATATAATGCAGCTATTTCTCTTATGATTATCTTGATACGCTTCCTTCTCATCTATTTCTTCAATGTGATTTACTCTGCTGCTTTGTTGCTTGTATTTGTCACAAGGGGCTAGGAGACTTGTGATTGTGGAGGCTGGCAGCAAGCGTGTAGAAGGAATTATTTCATTGAGTGATGTGTTTAGGTTCTTGCTTGGTATTTAACTCAAAAGTCCGAGCTGTAATTCCCTTCGAGGGCTTTACCGTGATGGCATCGAGGAAGATCCATTAATTTCATTGAGTTGTGTTTTTTCTCTGCTCCTCCATCCGTCCCTCCCATGGTGAATGGTCTTATTTGTTACTCAGTCTTTTTATGAGGATAGAAGTTTCAGAGAGCAAGAAATGAATTTGTAAATTGTGAGAATTCAATTTTTCCCCTTCATTTCAATAACCTAATTATTGTCAAACTCAACCATGCTGCTGGAGATGCTCTCCTTGTCCGTGTCTGCTAACAGAAAAAAAAAATGTAGCTGAAAAAACCAAAGTGAAAAAGAGGGTGGGTATTTTTTTTTTAGCTTCTGATTTCTTTTTGTTTAAAAAGGGTTGAAGATTTGGGAAATGGTGCATTTACTAGCTGTTAATGTTCTATTATGTTTGTTTTAAGGCCAAGCAACGATTCACTTCCAGTATAATCATGTGGCACAAAGTACAATCCATGTGAAAAACACTTTGTCATTCTCTAGCATCTTTGACCGGTCTGTTCCCTCTTGATTTGTCAAAAACATTTAAATCTTTCTATTTCTATGTTTGCTTTCTTTTCAGCTCTTCTGGGCGGAGGTTCTATTAACAGCTCCCTACTCTATCCTCTTCCTAGTTAAGGATCCTCTTCTTTCCCATTGACCAAAACGGAAGCAATATAATTATATATATATATATATATATATATATTACATGTGATATTGAACTACACAATGTGTGAATTCTCTTTATTAATCTCGCTTGATCTAGTTCAATATTCGAACTCAAAATGTAGACAATAAGATTATAAACAATATAATCATTTATAAAAGCTAAAGCTGGAGGTGGCAATAGGTTGGAGTCAGCGGTTTGGGTTCTTGTAAGTTTGGATCCTTTCAGGGTTGGATTTAAGTTCGAAGTGGGCGGATAAATTTTTTAGATTTTTTAAAAGATGTAATTATTTCAACATGTTTTTTAAATTTGAGTTGAGTTCAAAGTTTGAATTTTTTTTTAATCGGGTCATGTAAAATTTGTATTTTTTTGGATTCGAATTTTTGGGATCTGAATCTTCAACCTTTTTTTAATCAAATCCAAGATGAAGGTTTTTTGGGTGGGTTTCTGGGCTTGGGTTCATTTTGTTAAGTCCAACTAAAGCTAGGAAAGAATGGCGAGACTGGTTAAACTGAAAACAGGCTGCTTTTCTGGATTTTTTTCTTGGGCTAGAAATGACATTAACGATCCAATTCTCAAGAACAGGCAAAAATATGAATCCAAAATCATTTTCCAAAACCATGGGCTTTATTGGGTTTTATGTCCCAACCGAACTAGGGCAACCAGTCTTCTTCATCGACTATAAAGGATCATATCGGCATTCCTTTCTTCCTTGTTCAGCTCTGCCGCCAACCAAGCTTCGAGGGTTCTCAGGTTGCTCTTGAAACATTTAGCGGCCAACCAAAAATGGTCTGTTCAAGCTTCTCTTTGTTTTCTTCTTGTTTTTGTTATTTGTTTTTCATAATTGAACATGACTTCGTGTTGTTAGGTTCTTCAAAACGATATCGATTTGTTGAATCCTCCAGCAGAACTTGAGAAGAAGAAGCACAAACTCAAGCGTCTCGTTCAGTCTCCCAATTCTTTCTTCATGGTAATTGTTTAAAACCCTTTCTTTGTTTCATTTCATATCTTTTCACCCTTTGATTTGTTTCTTATCTTTGTATATAAATTTGTTGGGGTTAACTTTGTTCTTTTACTCTTTTTAAAGGATGTGAAATGTCAAGGCTGCTTCAACATGTAAGTTCTTATTGTCTAACTTATCTTTGGATCTTTAAATTTATGATTTCCTTTTGAATTGTGTATGTAAATCATTTCATTCCTTTATATTTGTTTTGGCAGAACAACTGTGTTTAGCCACTCTCAAACTGTGGTGGTGTGTGGAAATTGCCAGACTGTTCTTTGCCAGCCGACAGGAGGTAGAGCTAGACTCACCGAGGGATGCTCTTTCAGGAAAAAGGGGGACTGAAGTTTCCATTGGTCTGAATATGGGTCTTGTTTTTGTTTCAATTATCACATATAAAAAGTTCATTTTTGTAGTACGTTCAAGGATTAGATTCTAAGCTTGTTACTACATGGTTTTGATCATGGATTTTCTTTTGCTGCTATGAATATTTTGAGTTGCATTTGATTAGTTTTTGGATGTAAGATCCTTCTACGTATGATCAGATACCCACTTAAATGTGGAGAATTTCGTGTTTCTTTTTGGGTTCATTTCAGATGCCTTGTAAGGCCAACTGATACTATATGTGCAATTGTAGGGAGAAATTTGAAATATTATCTGATCTCATATGGCATTTCTGCTTATGGTTTTCCCCTAACATTGTTTTAACTCCATGCTATTTATGTATAAAATGTGTTAAAATACCCAAGCAAGCCAAAACCTCACATTTGGTTTTGTCTCATCAATTAACTAGGAGAAAAAACTTGAAAGAATTATGCTAGGAACCTGGATTCCAACATATTTGGTAAAAAGGGAAGAAAACAAAGCATCATGTTAAAGTTGGGATCAAAGCTAATATTTGAGTCTTAATTTTGCCCATGCACATTTGTATTTCTCGGAATATAGGCAGGTTCTGGGGACAGCATGGATGCAAGCTTGTAACAGCCGAATCAATGATTTGAGCCACATCGGCTGGGGGATATTGTCGCTCTGTACATCTCTGCATGTTAGAAGGAAACAAAAAATCAGCACAAGATTGCAACAGGAATGAGGCAGTGTTCTCCTCAGGCTGGTGAGAGTTTGCTCTTCAAATTACCAGTATCATGAGCAGAGTAGCAACACATGATGTGATAAGCTCCGAAGGAACTTGTTCGTCGTCTTTTTCAGAAGACTCCTGTAACTTGGGATTAGGAGGCCAAACGGCAGCCATGGGTTTCGATGTAACCAAGTGATTGTGAGAATCAGTACTGCCATTCTCCTGCTCTCGTGACTTGATCACGGGCTTCCTAATCTCAGATGTAAATTGCTTTTGATCTACAGTGTCCAAAGCTTCTCCAATCCTCATAAATGCATCTTCGCCTTCCTTCATAGATGACACGGCCTGAATCATAGTGCTTGATTAATGTTTATTAAACTCATAGTGCTAGATAAATGTTATTAAACCGAAAGCTTGGAGTTTTTGATAAATATATATAAACAAAAGGATGAAAAGAGACTTGTACCTTGATAGCAGCATCCACCATGGCATGCGCTCTTAATCTTGAGCCTTTGACAATTTCACCCACTACAGGTCCTGCTTCTGGTAAAACAAGAGAACCATCAACAGAACTTGTCAAGCCACCGAAGAAATTGGAATTAGTTGGGGGCTTCTGCCAAGGTGACACTGGGCTTGCCGGGGAAGTATCACGTTGTCTGAAGTTCAGTAAAGCAGAAGAATCCTGCACAGAACAATCAATCAAACGATGATCAATCCAAAGTTGTCAAAGAAGTGAATTTCGAATCGAAGAAAAGAAAAGACCACTTCTATCAATTCATGGAAGCCACATGCCTGGCCACTAGCTTCCTTTAGCTTTACAAGTGCCGTGGAAATATGCTTCTTGAAAGGTTCAGAAGCTTTTAAACAACTCTCTCCATTTCGGTTTTCTAATACGTCGTTGTTTGTATTTCTGAGCTCTGTCAATAAAGCTTCCTGCAAGGTTTTATACATATATATACATGAAAAAGATCAGCTACAGTAATGTAATTCTGCTAACCTATATTGCAAGATAGCATGATCATGGCATAATTTGCAAAATAAAATATATTTATGGATTTATAAGCTAATTAGCACAGCAAACATAAAGCAAGAAGTCTGACTCTGAGAATATAATAAAGGGTTTTCAGCATATTTCATTGAATATATTATGTGAATTCACCAAAGAGGCCAGTGAGGTAAAGATTATAAATCCGGAAGCAATTATAAAACAGATCATTTATTGAAGATGAAGTTATCCACTAGCAAAACAGCTATCTATATGAGCATGCTAAACTAGTATAATTTAGCATGAAAAATATCAAGAAAGTTGAGATGAATTCAAAAATATAAACAATTAAGTCTATCAAATATTGTAATAACCTTTTTGTCCAGAGCACGGTTCAATTCAGACATAGCGCGTATATCAGCTTCCCTCCCTTGGATATGTGCCATGGTAAGGGGTTGACCATAGGCTGCTTGATGTGCAGTAAGGACATTAGGAACAGCTGCCTTAGCCTGCAAAGTGTTACGTTTTGCATCCACCTGGCCAAGACCCAAATATATCATATTGGTTACAGGTTAACATGTAACATTATTGCTACAGAAATTCTAATTCTAGATCCTAGTGCCATTAAGAAACAGAAAAAAAGAAGGATAAGTAAAAGGATACATATGAAGCATAGAAAAAGCAGTGCAACTGGCTATAGCATTCTCAGCCTATTTATGCCTAAATTTCAAATTATAGCACAAAGAAATTAAAAAGAAATGTTAAATCAAACAAACAAAAATCTGGAATTAACAAAAGTACATAGTGTTTGTGATTCCTAGGCATCCTAACCTTTATCGGATTTGCCAAAATGTTTACAGAGCTGGTTGCATTCTCTGGACGCCCACTTGAAGTGAATACCACGGACCCACCAAAATCTAAATTTCCATTCACTTGAGACTCTTCAGGTGTCATAGAGAATTTATCAAAAGCAAGGTTTTGTCTCCTAAGAGTTTCTGGCATATTTTCCGATGGATTTAGTGGCATACAATCAACATCCTGCAATAACATGTCTGTGTGACATCCAGTATGAAGAGAAGATGAATGAACTGAAATGTCAATGTATTAAAAAAATGCAATTACCATGACAAATTCAACTCCTAGTTCAGGATTGTCAAACTGAACCCTGCACCTGTCATGATCCACAGTAAGTACTTTTCCATCATGAACTTCCCTTGTTTTGGGATGAATGGCAATTACTCGTTGTCCAACTGATAAAGGACGTGCCAAATCTGTTGCAAGTCCTTCCCTAGCACCAATGCGAAGTTGAGTATAATGTTGTCTCACAGACTCTCGATACTGTTTAAGTTTTTCCCTCTCTTCATGTAAAAAGCGTTCAGAAAACCTCCTAGGTTTGCCAAGGGAACTGCATTAACAAGCAATTGCATTGTAAAATCTCTGTTTTTCCAAATTTCTCAACAGTAGGGATACTGACAACCTTACCTTCTTATGACACCCCACTCAACACGAGTAAGCCTTGGAATGTGACCCAATCCGACATGATTTAAGTACTCCACAAACTCCCTTTTAGCAAACCATGCATAATCAATGGCACTGTAAAACCATTCAAAAGAGCACCATCTTCGTGCCAGATTAGATGATAGGCAGGAAGAGAGCTTTTCCTGAAATTCAATAATATCCATCAATTATGCTCTAAATTTTGAAAACTCTTCTGCAGAAGGGAAATAAATGAAGGAAGATTAGATTCTACCTTTAGTCTGTCTTGTGAAAGAGAATGCTTGTTTGGTTGATTCTTAAATGTGTACTTGGAAGAATTTATATCAGTTGAAAATAAAGCTCTCTTCAGGTTTATTTTACGTCTACTTTGATGCTTAGTTGGTAAGATAGAAGGGTTTGGAGCAGGAACTTTTGAAGTTGACACCACTGAACCAATTCCAGCCATTTTTGGATTATTAGTGGGGGAATCCTCTGGCACTCTGAATGATTTCCATTGTCTTGATTGAACAGAAGATTGAGCACCACATTTACCTTTAGAGAGATATTTGTTCTCTTCTTCAGCCATGCCCTGCTAGGCAAAAAAACAGCATCAACCCAGGAGATAATACATATTACTAAAATAACATGAAAGTGATTTGCTATCTTACATGCATTGAACAAGTAAATAAAAGGCTCAAAGATTCACCTACCCCATTCTCTAAAGATTTTCTCGAAAGAGAATCCATTGGAGCTTCTGCATTTGAAATCTGCAGCTTGAAAAAAAGATTTTGTCATGAAATCAAGATTAGAATGAAGTAGTTACAACAGAAAGAATATTCAATGGTTACCTCTGAACTGAAGGATTTGCGTTTTCTTTTCCACAAGTTATTGGGAGGTTCTGGCTGTTGTTTTGGTTTAGAAGCGACATTGTCATCCACAGCTGAATACCTCCCAACTTTTGATTCTCTAGAGGAAGCATCTTCAGCTCCATTCATTAAGTTGAGCAGCTTTTCTTTTGGCCCGAGGTGCTTCATTTTATCTCTGTGATGACTTATAGGTGCAGCTTCAGGTACACTAGACTTGTCATCAGTTTCAAGTGTAATTCTGTCCTCTTTCAATTTGACAGATGATTCTAGGAAAACATGGAAACAACAATAAGAGGAATAAGAAAAATGTATGCTTCCAGAATCCATGCAGAAAATGGTCGGGAAGAAACATATATGAGTAACTAAAGCAAGATAATTGACAGGAAACCCGATATCATATGGTACATTCAAGTTAAAAGGTAAACTTGAACCAATTGAAACCTACCAGATTCCATTATTGATATTGGCAACATTGATGTAGACAAATTGGCTAATGTCAGCAAACCATCTAGGGAAGAGCTTTCTTCTACATATAGAAAAAGAATAAAAAACTGATGTTGAGCTTGCATGTGCTATCAAATCTAAAAAAAAACAGTTGCAAGAAGAACATTATGCTTTGAAAAATAAAGCAACTTCAAATTCCTTTTGCATTTTCCTCTTTTTTTTTTTCTTTTTCTTGCTACTTTTGGTGCCTTGTTCAGGTAGAATTATGACATCATTTAATCCCGATCTCCAGTTCATACCTCCAAAGACAAGCTTCCCGTTTCTCTTCCCCTGACTCCATGGTGAAAGTTCATTTTTTGCACTGGAAATCTCCATATCAACTTTCCCTTCGAGAGCACTACCTATAATTCCTTCTTCAGTGCCGCTACACGCTTCTTGGCCATCATCAGACAGATTGTTCTTCATCTCTTCAACTTCAATTTTCTTCCTGTAAAATTTTTTCCCCTTTTGATGAACTTCAACAGTACCAACACCTTCCATATCCATCAAGTGGCCAGTATCTCTGGAATAAGTTCCAATTACAGGTTCTGTGCCCCCATGCCTGTCTTCTGTCCAGCATTCATAGGAAGAATCACGAAGCTTGGCCTTTGTTGTCTCTGATTGTCGCAACTAATTGCATGTCAATGGAAAAAATAAATGTAAAATTATTACACAGATAATGAGGGCAAAAGCAACCAAAAAATATTATAAACTTAAACTAGAGGTCATGTACCATCCTATCATAGCTCTGAACAGATGAGGATCTTCTGCAGTCAGCTCTTTTATAAGGTGTCTGGGAAAACTGAGGGGAGCTTCCCTTTTGCAATGCTCCTGTCAATGTCAATGCGGCGGCATGTTCATCATCATTATCATCAACCCCTGACTTCTTGGCTCTTTTGCTTGGTGGAATGTAACTTTCAGTGTCATCTCTCCTATATGAATATGAAACAGGGACCCGAGGAGTCCTTTTCCGAACTGCACGAGGATGAATACCTAAAAGGAATTCAAACCAAATGAGGACCTCAATCACAGTTATGGGCATTATTATAACAAGGTTTCTGATTGCATTGACCGTTCATATGCTTAGTAAACATAACTGTAAATTGGCATATCTTCTCCTCTAAATACAGCAACATTACGGAAAAATTATTATTGCATAAAGAATACCAAATATTATTCCAAATTTCAATTCCTCCCATGGACACTGAAGAACTTTCCTAGGTAGTCAACAAACTGTTTCCACTGATCTTTGAACTAATGATGCTAAATGCAAAAACTTGACTTCCCTATAGATAGGCAACAGGAAATGGATTACAAAGGAAAACATTAATGTAAACTAGAAGGAGTCCTAAAAAATTAAAAAAAAAAAAAAAAGAAAGAAAGCTCCAATATTAGATTGTCAGCTTATCACCCACGAGAGATCCTTCTAAAAGAATTTTGATTCATCAAAGCATCTACTAATCTTCCACTTATTCTAATTAACCAACTAGAAAAGTTTTTGTTTCCTCTTCTCATGTCATTCTGTAGATTGAAAAATAATTGGTGGCAACTTTTTGTTTACTTTTTTCCCCTTCTGATTAATAACATTTCTTCCTAATGTTACTACATTCCTCATCTGACAGATCATAAATAACTTCAAGCACTATTCTTAGCTTTTCTTTGCCCGTAAATTTGGACAACTTCTACCACTTTAGCTCTTTCCTTTTTCAGTCTCTTAGTTGCATCTATTGCCAAATAAGAGATATAACTAAGGCAGGGAAAATTAAAGATACTTGTGATAAACTAACAAAGGAACCAAATTGAAGAAAAACCAGATGCAATTGACTGCTAACAATAACAATGGATTTTACCATTAAGGCCTGCCCTTTTCAACAAAGACAAGCATCCCTGACCAGATGCAATTGGTTGGGGCTGAAAACCATCCTCTTTTGAGGACCCAAGATGAACCTTTGCCCGCTTGCGCTTTTGAGCTTTCTGAGGTATTTCAGATGGCTCATTGCTCTCTCTTTCATCATCACTCCCCCCCTGTTAGTTGACAGGTACAAAATTTTCATCCATTAGTCAGTAGATAGAGGAAGAACATTAAGATTTCAATTTATTTTGAGAGCCTAAAATGAATAGATATAATTACTGTATTTTTTAGGAGGTAAAGAGAAATATACTTCCAAAGAATAAACTACACAAAACAGCGTTAATTGATACAAACAATGACTGCAGAATTAAATTTGTGGTATAGCTTTGGATATTATAGTAATTAACAGCAAAGGAGAGAGGTGAACAAGATTAATTAAAACTAAAAGATGAGAAATCATAAGAAAGACTGCAAATATCAGAGATTTCCTAATAATTACTTCAAAATGTCAAATCCAATCTCACCAGGACAGTGTAGTGGTCGGTCATCATTGCTATAAGGCCAATCACAGAAGCTGTTCCATCTGGCAGGGATAAATATGCCTGAAAATAAAACACACACACACACACACACACACTAACATACGTCAATGTAAGACTATTTATAAGCAAATAGAGTCAAACTAAAGCAACTCTCAGGCTTCATCCAACACATGAAGGCCCAAAATGAAGCTATATTCACAGACCTTGAAGCACATATTCCACATAATGTCTTGAAGACTTTAGCAACAAAAAAAACTACTTATCTGCATTAAACTATAGCAGTACATGGATTTCTAAGCACAACCGCCATGCAATTTCAACTGGATACATCTTGAGAAGCCACATCAAAGTTTAAAAATGGCAAGTTAACTAAGACAGAAGTTCCAAGTTTTTTCCTTTTTAATCTTTTAGAATAGATATCCTATATACTTGGTTATTTTAGAAACAATCAGCATTAAACCCAGAAGCATCCACAAACAGGATTTAACCAATCAATGACAAGTTGGTAACTGATTATAGCTTAGAGCTACATTTGAGGCCTAAACATACCCGGTTCATAGTGTAAAGGGCCTCCACCATTTCAGTGGTTCTATTACGCACAGCAGCAGCCACCTAAACCAAGGAATCAAAAAGTTAAAAAAAAAAAAAAAAGAAAATGTTAATTAGATTTATACAATTCCTGGATAGAAAATCATCCCAATATAAAACAATGAATAAAATTACAGGCAAACTATAAAGCTTTGTTATGATAGTTGTCAAAGCAATAGTAACTGTAGCAGATAACTACTATACCTTCTTCCAATCTTTCCCATACTCTCTATAAGCTTTATAAAATCGCTCAATCTCGGCCTTGCTCCATTGAGATCCTAACTTGTCAGCTAATTTCTTCTATAGCGTAGAATACAACGGTCCATGCATCAAAACGACACACAATTAGCATATGATGTACACCGCATCAAAATAATTTGATCTTAGACCAAATAATCAATGAGAAATGACTCAAACACTTACCTTTGGCTTACTTTTTCTTGAATTCCCAGCATCTTTATCAGGAGAGACTTCATATATACTTGAATATTGTTTGTTCACACTTTTAGATTTTCTTGTTGGGGCCATCAATTCTATCTGAAACATTTCATCAAGAAACATAAATCCCATAAATGTTATCGTTTACTCGAATAAACTAGCCAAATAAGATTTTTAAATTAACAAAAAAAAAAACTGCAAAACCTCAAATCCACAATCAAATTTTGCTTAAAAATTGAAAACACCCAAAAGTTTACATATTTAAAAAAAAAAAAGACTTAAAAAAAATTCATTCAAAAACTGCTCTAAAGGCAACACAGAAATTATTAAAAAGAAAAACCAGGAACAAAATTTCTAAAAAACCCAAAAATGCAGGGATTCAAAAACCGAAATTCAAATTCAGTAGAGAAAGAAGGCAAGCCAATTTGGTTTAATCCACAAAGTCACTTGAAAAACTGCTTCAAACCCTGTGAAGGAAACCCAAAAATACTTCTAAAAAGGCAATAAAGATTCAAACTTTTAGCCGAAAATTCCTCAAAAAATCCAAAAAAAATCACAAGTCTAGTTTCAAAATCTAAACTTTTTAAACCCTAATTCACAGATCGGAGACAATCCCACCTAACAATTTCCGGCCATGTTCGATCTGAGTCTAAACCATGAAGACAAACAAAGGGTTTTAGAGAGAGAAAGAAAGAAAGTTTACCGAACAAAAAGAGATAGATATTAAAAAAAAAAAAAGAGAGAGAGAGAGAGGTTGGCGTTGCCGCGAAACTTGAATATAAAGGTGTTTTAGCCAATGAGCTTAATTTGTTCTAATTTTTGGCTTTTTCTTTATCTTTTTGTTCCGTCGGGATGATTTAAAGGTTTAATGGGGTTCTAATCACCGTACACGTGACAAGTTGAAGGATCATGAATTGGGAGTGGTCTAATTTTTGATGTTATAGGTTGGGGTTTTTGTGGATGATAATAGCCGATTAAGTTTGAAAATTTTTTAGATCAATTGTCAAATCAGTCCTACTTTTTTGGCTAATTCTGTTTAGCCCCCTCTGAGATTTTTAAAATTAAAGTCATTTCTTTAATTTGTTTGAACAATCCCATATGAATTGTTTTATCAAAATTTTCACCAAAATTTTATGTGAAGTCATAAAACACAATTATAAGGCAATAAAAATCACTCTAACCAAGTTGTCAAAAGACATCTAATATAAAGAAAATAAAATAATTTCTCAAATTTTGAGCCCAACAAAAATGGAGGGGGAAAATGTAAATAATATAATTGACTACATAGAATCTGTCAACCTGTTGGAAAGAAATACAATTTTTATGGAATTGCCATTCAAAAAGAGAAGGAAAAATTGTCACAACTGCTGACTTATCTTTCAATAACACGCCTACTGTTTCTAAATTCACTTGGATCATCCATGTCCATACCATATTCATGAGACCTTACCCAGGGCTTATTTCCATCTTTTCTAGGTCCCTTGAATCTCTGCATGTTGTTATCCATTCTTCGTCTGCCATAGCCATCCATCTTGGTGTTGAATCCAGATCGCGAATCTTTTCTCGAGTTGTAATCACCATGGCTACTCACATTGTTTCCTCGTCTGCCAGATCCGATTTTGCTCACTCTTGATCCATTTCTTCTAGAGTGTGTACCATCATGTTCATATTCTGAACCAGAGAAGGAACCACGTTGAAAGCCAAAACTTCCGCGGTTATGAAAGTTGCCTCTGCCGTAGCTCCTTTTGTCCTCTTTCCTCCGTTTGGATCCAAAATCATCATCACTATCGGAATTCGAATCAAGATCATCTGAGCCAAAGCTTAAGTCCTTTAACACACCTCTTGCAGTTCTACCCCTATGCTTTGAGTCGGCTACATGACTCGATTTCCAGTTAGGATGAGCTGAAAGCTCTTCATCTGAATCAAAATCTAGTTCATCATCAGAGTCCGATAAAGCTACTTCTCTATGAATGTGCTTAGATGGCTTAATGTAAGATGGAACCCTTGTCCTTCGATGAGCAAGAGAATTATCATTAAAGCCCTCACTACCTTCTGGTTCAGAAAACATCTCATTGTCAGAGTAAATGTTTGAAGAAGCTTTCTGCCTTGGATTATTTCGCTGAGAGTCTATCTCGTAACTATCAATATCATCAAAATCATCAAAATCATCAAAGCCTGTTCCATGTTTGTTGCTATCAATATCCGAATACATTCTTTCATGGACCCTTGAGGCTCGGCCAGATGCATCAAAATCACCTTCAAGCCCTCTAAACTTCCCTCCACGGGTCTGGTTCTCCAAAGGAAAAGCTTCACCCTTTACCGAAGAATCTGCATACTCAAAGGCAGCAACATCTGCCCCATCTGATTCACCATCATCGAAGTCAAAATTCCAGGCATTAGAAACCTCTGGTCGGTGGGCAACCTTCTCCAACCTTGTTCTTGGACCAGGTTGCGTTTCTTGAATTTTACTCTCTATAAATGCATCAGGTGGACGCTTGCAATCACAATGAAAACATGACATATTTCTCCTGTAATTTAAGAAGTTGCACCTGCCATAGCACAAAAACAATAAGAAGCAATGCAAAAATTTCAACACAATAAACTACTATAGAGGAATCGATTCATTTCCAGAGTTTATAACTTGATAAGTCAGAGCCATCACCCTTGTTTAGAAGAGGATCACCGAGAAGCCATAACATCAATAAATGAAGACTATCAACTTATTACTTATGCTCATAAGTCCTAACCAACCCCCATTTATTTTTATTATTATAATTTTTTTGCAAGAGAAAAGGAAAGAAATAAAGAGATACAATGGGGAAAAAACAAGATGTGAAAAGGAAACTCAAGATCAATAGTTGCAATATATTTTCCAGCACGAGCTTTCTTTTCTGTGAACAGTTGAAAATGGAAACCTCTAGCATTTAACCTCGTGAACCCAGCACAACATGTGCCAAACCAAATTGTAAAAGGCTAAATCTACAATTTTAAACAGAAGAAATTATATACAATAAATGAACTTTGAAACAAGTGATTTATGTTAACATCTAAACCAGAATGTGCAAGGGAAAGAAAGTAAACTTACTCAGGGCATTCCCATTCCCCAGGAAGCAGCTGTCTCTTTGGCCGCTTAGCATCACACTGTAGACAGACTGTATTCTTTGCAAAATTCATGAAATCGCACCTGAGAGGAACGTTCAATGATTTCAGAGATTACAGTATGCTCAAATTTCTCAAATGATTAACATGAAGCATCATAAACAACTACAACATGCTTTTGTACAACTACAACAACGTCTCATGACATAGACAGTATGCATCTCAATCAGTATGGTTCCAAAGATTACAAAGTCTCCATAAAGAATTCCACTTGAAACTTATATAGAGCTCACATACTTGGGACAAAGCCAATCACCCTTTTTCATCTCAATGTCATCTCGCCCAACTCGCTTCTTTGGAGGAGGAGGAGGTTGCTTCACTTTTGGTGGAGGCTTCTTTATCACAGGAGGGGGAAGATTTGGGTCTATAGGAACAGCACTCAATTTTACAACCTCATAAAGCAACTTACGAACAACAGTCTTTACAGACTTCTGTTTCAGAACAGATTCATTTACCACTGAACCATTCACATAATCAAAACCATAGGCCAATAAGACACGCATAACATCAATAGTTCGTGCCTCATCCTCTTTATTAGTTAGAAGATATGCTCTCTCGCAAGAATTCCTCAAGCTGCAGGAACTACAAACCTGATTCACAAAGAATTGATCGCTTAAAATAAAAAAAATAAAGAAAAAAAAACAAAACAAAAAAGAAAGAAAGAACGGATAATCCTCTGTAAAAAAAGCAGCAAAATTGATATATGGCAAAGAACATCAACACATGAATAATTAGGGGACCAAAAAGAAAAGAAGCAACAAAAGCAGAATTTTTGTTAGATTTCACCAAACAACAAAGGAATGAAGAAATTACTGCTTACATCTCCTTCATCAAGGTGTACATGTTTCCTCAAGAGTTTTGCAGAGAAAACCACCTTCTTGTCTGCACTTGGGCATCCAAAACCAACCAAAATTTGGATATCCTGTCTTGATAATGACCTGAAATTAACTTTCTATTTCAGCAAAGCGAAACAAACTAGCATTAATCAAACAAGTGTTGCAAATAACTATCTTTATAAACTCCTTTTTTGGATAATAGAATTTATTAATTCATTGAAAGAAGCAGAAAACTGCTACAGAGGGAACAAACTGCCTGAGGAAAGGCAGAGAACAAGGTCCGGAAAAAAAATAAGAAATGAACAATTAAAACAGCTACAGTAGGAACATAACAAGATCAGAAACATTAACTACACAGGATTTTCTCAACCATCCTCCATCTTTGACACAAGCAATGACTACTATAGCCTCAGCAAATCCAGAAAAGCAATTCCTTTAATAGTATTTTACCAAGACCAAGCCCAAGAAAACCAAAGTTCAAATAAAAATTTAGCAACAATCATCTCTACTTCTCATTAAAATCAAACTCTTGATATTTATGAAACCAATTACTACCATTATGGTCTACTTACACATCAAGGACCATTCTAAACAAATTCACAGCACCAAAACCTTAAATTATATTCATTTCCTTGCAATTCATTTACAACATAGGGGTGAAAATTTATTTTTTTTAAAAAACAGCATTCCATTAGTCATATACAATCCAATCACTTACTTATACCATCGATCTTCCAACCAAATCATACAATTCCACTAAATGCTAACCCCAAAACTAAATCCATCTCTATGCAACAAAATATATAATAAACTAACTAAACCAATCCATTTCATATAAAAAAAAAAAAAAGAAAGAAAAACACCAATATACGAACCTCAATATATCAAACCGGTCCTTCCCGAAATTAAGACAAGCAGTTTGCACAGTCTTGAAGTCCTTGAAATCAATTCCAGCATCATCCTTAACTTCCTCAACAACATTACTCATATCAAATCCCAACTCTTCCACCATCTTTTCCTCATCTCTCCTTTTATGATCAAAGTAATTCTGTTGCACTAATCTCTCCATCAACTCTATCCACTCCGGCCATGGGTGCACCACCTCCACCTCCTTCCCCTTCTGCCTTTCCAACTCGCCCAACTCAGTCACTGAATCAGTACTTAAAACACTAACTTTAGCCTCATTTTTAGCAGTTTCACCTTCTGGATATTCCTTATTCTCCCCATACTTCGATTCCCTCCAAGCACGAATCCGCCGGAGGGCATCCCCGTTTGGTGACCCTGATAACTCGGGCGAGTCCGACAAAGTAAACTCAGTAGAACTGGCATCATTTTTAGCAATTCCAGAATCTGAGTTTTGTTCTTTGGATTGAATTTTCTGTTGGGTTGCTTGAGATTCCTTCTTTGATTGACGCCAAGCTCGGATACGTTGGAGGGTGTCGTCGTTTTCGAGCGATTGCTGCTGTTTCTGTTTTTCAATTTTATCAATTTGGTCAAAAACGAAGCTCATACGAGCCGAGAGAGAGGTTGGTTTCCGCGGTTCTTGGATGACGGTGCCCGCCGGCTGTGGGGAAGCAGAAGAGAAGGGCTTCAAATAAATGGTGGTGAAAATTGGATATGGAGAATAGTTATGGAGTTTAAAAGGGGTTTTAGAAGAGAAAGAAAGACGTTTTAGGAGAAGGAGAGTGAAAGGAGATTGAGCCATATTTGGTTTTTCGGGTGTAAAGAGAGATTTAGAGACGAGTTAAACTAAAACGCTTCTCCATGCATGAACAAGAGATCCAATGCAGGAATAGAGGCAACTTAAACCCTTGGAGAAAGAGAAGAAGAAATGAATATTGGGCCAAATCAGTCCAAAAGAGAAGAAGAAGAAAGTATTGATTTGGAGCCTAATATCTTTTTTCTGTTGGAGGTGTTAGGGCCCAGCATTCAAAAGGACATTACTCGGCCCAAAAGAAAGTGCACTTCCAAAAACAAATAAACCTACACTAATTACATACATGAAAAATTACATACACTAATTCCTTTATTTTTTTTTTCTATACATCTCTTTTTTAAAATTATTTGTAAGTAAAATTATTTAAATAATCTTCTCACAAGTTTTATAACCTTTGGAAACATATTTATGAGAAATCATAACACTTCTCGAAAATATATTTTCAACAAATTATTATTTATAAATAAGTGAAATAAAAAAGTTATTATTAAAAAATAAAAATTAATAAAAAAATTACTCTTAATATTTTCATCTTAAAAAAAATATCTTTTGAGATATAAAATAACAAATATAATTTTTTTATAAATTTAAAATTTATTATTTTTTAATAAATATTTTTATTGATTGTTAAATTTTATAATATATTTTGTAATAGCTTTAATTAAAATAAATTTTTTAGAAAAATCTTTTCATCTACTTATAAGTTTTTTCAATTAACATATTAAATTTTGACAAAATTATATATTATTTAATAACATTATTTATATTTTAAAAAATTTAAATTTTTTATGTATAAATTAAACTTGATACTTCTTTCATCTTATTTCGTGATATCAAAAAATAAAATATTTAATTAAAAACTCAAAATTTTATTATTTCTCTAAAATCAAAATAACAATAAAATTTTTTTTAATTTTAAAATTTATGATTTTTTAATAATAATGTTTTATTACACTAGTTTATAAATATTTTAACAAAATTCTCTTTATAATTTTTCATAAAATATCATTTTTTTTACTTTTGTAAATGCATTTCTAAAAAGTATAATGATTTCTCAAAAATATATTTTCGAAAAGTGTTAACTTCTTGAAAATAATGAATATCCGAAAATTTGTAAAACAAATATTTAAATAATTTTATTTACAAATTTTTTTTTTAAAACGAAAGTGAGATGTAGAAAGAAAAAGACAAGGTGCCTTTAGCCGCTTCCAAAGAAGAAATGAATATTTGAGCCAAAATCAGCCCAAAAGAGAAGAAGAAAACCGAATTGATTTGGGACCCATTACTCTTTTTCACTGAAGCTGTTGGGACCCAGTATTCAAAAGGACATTACTTGGCCCAAAAGAAAGTGAACTTCCATAAACAAATAAACATACACTAATTACATACATTACAAATAGAAATTTTACCAAATTGGAAAACATGTTAAGAGAATCATGTTCCTAATATTTCGTGTGCGAAGAAATGAGTTCAAAACCACTCCACCATACACTTCGGGTAGAAACCTTTATCAGTGGCAATGTCAGAAAGGCCTTGTAGTTCCTTCTGAACTTTACGCCTCTCATAGAAAACAGAGCACGCAAGAGAATTGCATTTCACTCCACTCTCCACAAGCCAGTCCCCTCCTCCACATTGTCGACATATCTGCCGGAGAATCAATATCCACGGTAAAGCAATGCAAGCAAGCATCAATAATTATGACTAATGCAATATGAGAAACTTTTACCAAACTGACAATTGGGTAAATGATAAGAGGCTTAAAAGAGAACACATTACTCACAGCAACAAGGTGTTGCATCTCTCTCTCTAATTTTGAAGTCCTCCCAGTTATGGCTGTCGCAGCTGCAGTTTCGTTTTGTGAACATTTACCACATAGATGAGCTGATGCTTGGACCAACTCACCACAGAGTATACAGTGCTTTGAAAGATAATAATAATCAATTCTAGTCTGCTGTGGATTTAAAGCATGCACACTGCGTTTACCAAAAGCTTCCCTGGTTGGGCGAGGCATTTCTGAGAACCACCGGTTCAAGTCAGCACCAACAAGCCCAAAAACCCTCTGCAATGCAGGGATTATCTGTTTGTTGATGTAATACAAATCATTTAACCTGAAAGGGGAATTAATAGCTAAAAGTTCCAATGGATCCACCACCATGTCAACCAGGCGAGCCCCAGGCTCTCCATGGATTACAACATAGGGTACTCTCTCTGCATAGCGTGGTTCTGCCCTGGGATCTGCTCTTATTGCTTTGGTTGCCACAATTGCAGCTGGTGGGAGTGAACCTACTTTCGTACTGTAAGTTCCTAAGCGAACTTCTTTCGCAAAAACAAAATCCTGAAGAGACACCCTGCCAGACAAAATCCTTGTCCACTGACGATGCAAATATGCTTCAACCTATAACAAATATAAAAATATAAAAAAAAGCTCAATTTAATGGTTGATAAAGAATTTGCCAACCGGTTGATGCAAACTAGGATGGCATTCCCCATGATGAGGCAACAGAGACTCAGGAAATGTTTAGTAAGCGGTCACAGTTTCATGGCAATCTCAACATGCAGGACTCTTTCTCTATTTTTATAAGGCCCTAAATATGGTACTTTCCACAAATTGCAACATATCAGGTATATCAAGTGGATCTTACTCCACAATAACCAGAATGGCACTCTTGCTTGACAGTTGTTCACTAAATCACCTTCTTAAATAAGGTCAATATTTCCAAGTGGATCATCAGCTTAGACAAGTAAAGCATATAAATAAGAAAAGTTAAATACCTTTGATATATCCTGATGTTCAAAAAAGAGTCTCAACGACTGTTCCAATGTCTTGGAAACAGCACCACAAGTATCTCGGCGAACTGTCTCAATGCCTTTAGCATCAAAAATAGGTTTGACTTGGTCAGGGCTCTCATAACTATAGCCAACATAGCGCTTCTTAGTAAGGAGAAAACACGGGTGATAGACTTTCTCCATTTTCAATGCAACTGGATTTGGATTCATTGCAGTTATTGCAGTTGCAATCTCATGCCCTATTTTGAATGATTCTTCGACAGTGCGCCCCTTAAGGAGGACAAACATGCTGCAATAAAGAAAGTCTCTTAGTCTGGCCACATCGACTCTGGTATCATTCATTGTAAACCATGTGTTAACACAACATGCATCAAAAACCTTTTTTCTTTACATTTTCATCCCCACTACATTAACAGGTTTGACTACATACCTGTCAGTGTCACCGTATATCACCTTAGCCTTCCATTTTTCATGTGAATTTACATAAGAAATAGCTTTTTCAAGTGTGCTACGACCACATTGAACAATACTGTCTGCAAGCTCAGCACAAGGCATGCGACCACTAAATCCAGCAGCAGTATAACCATAAGTTACATTTGCTATCAGCTTCAAAGCAAGCTGTCTTGCATTGAATATCTGAAAGAAATTTAAAAAATAGTAACCTATCATATTTATTAATAAGCATACATAAAGGAAGAGGAATGATCCGAGTTAATCAAGTTTAACCACTGCATCAGAAAATTAGCTGCTTGATTTCCAAGAATATAAGTATTTAGTCTGATTCTACTTCAGAGTTAAAATATAAGGAAAACGAAATTCTTGGGAACAAACATACCCGCTGAAGAACCTGCTGTGAAGGAGTCAACTTCTTCATTGCTTGTTTCACCATTATTCTGGTTGATAATATTTCCTCCAGTAAGCGAGGCAGCACTCCTTTGCGTACCTATAGAATAACAAAAGTGGACATCATTGGATATGCAGCATCCTCTTCTTCATTTTTACTTTTTTTTTTTCCAAAAAAACAGATTCACACGGTAGAAATGAGGAACTTCTAAGATAATTACCTTTGAAGGAACGTACATAACACCATTTGGAGCAAGCAGCAGTTGATCTTTTAAATCCCGCAAAACATTTGGATCTGGTGCATATGAACTAACCCCAAGAGTATTTACTTTACAATTTGCAATATTGCCAAGGCATGTGCAAAAGCAAAGATTGTAAGCAATTATCATGGATGGATAAAGAGACTGAAAGTCCAACACAACAACTGGATCTGAATAGAAACCGGATTCAGGTTCCATCACAAGAGGCAAACACTCCATTGCAGGTTGAGAAGCAACCTGTAAAAGAGAAAAACCAAGTCAATATTCAATCATAACATTTAATAGTACACAATGCATAGCATAGATGATTACAAAGAGAAAGAAGAAGTACATGAAGCATTTATCATGATCTAAAAGCCACCAAAAAGGAAAGCAAGGTCAAACATCATTAGCAACTAGAAAGGAAGAAAGAAAAATGAGATGCACCCATACTAAAAAAGACTAAAGCAGCAGTAACCTGTTGGTTTCCAGCAGAAACAGCTAGATAATTCTGTGTATGTGCCAACCTCAGAAACATGGATTCAACACGAAACTGCGAACCTCGAGAAAGCACAGAAAAGAAGTCGATGCCAAAAACACGAGCAAGTTCTGATGTTCGATTTATCTGTAAAAGCCAATATGATCACAATATAAAACAGTATGATCAGTGAAAATAGATAGAGAATAGCAAGAATATAAAAATTTAAACAAAACTGTTTCTAGGTACTTTCCCTCATAACTGATGTATTAAACGAATACTGTTGTCAACAGGAAACAAACAGATTTTATTGAAGAAAAATGAAGGTATGAATTAGATATCTTTTCATTAGCTTTCATTAGCCATGGAAGGAGATTAACTTATCTCCATATATTTATTGCAGACATCAATCATAATAGATCAAAGACAACACCAATATGGACAAGTGACATCAATCAAAAGAATAACAGTCATTTCTGGACAAAAAAAGCCAATAATTCTAGGAGACAATATAAATTTGACCAAACTAGCATTCCACATGCAGAGTTCAAGAAAAGCATTGACTAACATACCATATCAAGTTGATTTATTATCTCCAGATTCAACTTTGCTCTTTCAACCACATACTCTACACATCTGTACCTTGCCCATGCAGGGCCGCTTGAAAACCATTTAGTCAATACTTTATAAGGAATTGATGGAATTTTTCTCCTCAAAACAGATTCAGTTACAGCTTCAACTGTATACATATTAAGTTTAACTTCAGTACGCATTAACCGCCAGACATTGAGGACAATTCTACCACCAACATGGACGCCACTGGCATGAGTTCGGCCCCATTCATCCTCTATTATTGCATCTTCCATCACAATATTATCAGCAATCAATGGCTTAGGCAGCAATTCATCTTCTAAACCCTTTTCAGAAATGTTAATCTCTTCAGCTTTTATCTTGGTTTCAGATGGTGTCCTTGATATTTTATTAAGCAATCCTATACCAAGATATGCAGCTCTTTCAGCAAGAAAACCAAGAGAACTACCTTGAACATCCCAACCCATTAAAATATCAGGATCAAGAGAACATAATATCTCCATAAACTGACCAAATAAGTGCTTCTCCTCAAAGAAAACAAACACCTTAAACCAAGATATTCCATCAAGACTCCTGCACAAAAATCAAGAGGAGTATGAAAAGTTAAAAAGGAGCACAGTTGTTATGCGAACAAGATAGCATAAAAAGTTTTTGATGAACGTGATGTTGGCATAAGTAGAAGCTGAACAAACCTAAAGGATAAAAAAAAGGGAATGATTGCAGGAAAAAAAATTATAGAACATAAAAGGCTGTGGAATTAACCAACTAAAGCGCAATTAAATTGGAAGACTAGCACACCTCTGACAGAATCCAGTGTTACTATATAAAAGCACATAAACTTCTGTCACAGAATCATTGTCATTCTGAATTGCAAGAGCTATTACATTGATGGCATCAAATCGAGGATCAGGTCGTAGGTCTCCTCTAGATTCTGCATGAACCTGTCAGAAAGTGTTGCAGTCCTATCAGAGATCAACCTCAAAACTTTTGCTAACCATGAAATCATAATCAAGTATCTTATTTCAGTAAGTAATGATATGTAATATTCAAGAACAGTAAGCAGCAACAATTCAAGTATATCTTAATGGTAGTAAAGTTAATGGAAGCCTTAAGCTCACATTACATGTAGACCTATCTGGGAAAATCTTTAGGAAAATCTTAAGGATTCAATGTCAATATCTTATGCTTAATGTAAACATAAGGGAATTTAAACATGCATAATGTAAAATTATAAAACTTCAATAAATGCTATTGAAGATATTCTGATCATGAAATGATATATAGGATCTTTTGTCAAGAAATGATTTAAAATTTCTAAAAGAACCCAAAAATATTGAAGCTGTGTTTATAGAGTTAAATTTGAGAGACCTCACTTTCTAAAGTAATTTTCTGAAACATAAAATCAATATAAGAGTGTAACAACGAATATGTCGTGGTTGATACCTCCAAGCTTAACAATGTAAGCTGTTGCCCAGCACCAACACTTGCAGGATCACGAAATCCAATTTGACTTAGTGGAGTGGGCCTGGATTTTCCATCTGGACCTGAAATCTGAGACATATCTTGTGAGCCATCAGTGCATGTATTTACTTTCATAATATTTCCCTCACTTTGACATGGTGTTCTTGACTTATTACTGCAAGACTTCACTTCTGAACCAAGGGCCAAATTCTTCTGTAGAAGCCCTTGATCCAACACTGATCTCATGTGATATTTAGTACTAGATTCAGTCAAAGCCTCGTTAAAGTTAACCGGTGAAGAGTTTTCCGAAGCAATCAGACACTCAGAAGAGCCTGCAAGATGTTCTAAGCTATTAATAGGGTTTCCGCATGTTCTCTTTCTACAGAAGAAAAGCAATGAACTCTACCTGTTAAAGATGGAGACTCTGCTGATACTGCATTACTCTGTCTAGAAGTTCCTAGAAATACACAAGCAACAGTTATGGATTAGAAACTGAAAAAAGCAGGAAATGAATAGGCAGCTCTTTCAACAGATCTAGGCAATACCTTTGTCATCACATAACAGCCATCTATATACAGAATCTGCAGAAGGGGGTGAAAATACAGGTGTTAACATGTACAAGAAAGACCCATCATTTTGATAGTGAGTGGGAACGCCCAAGGCAGCTTCTTGATGAAAATTAGAGTTGTTATTTCCTAGGCAGTTGTGTTGGCGTTCCTTCACTTCTTCACAGTCCCCTGGAAAAAATGGGAGAATCTCATCCGGAGCTTTCCCTTTAAGAGAACAAATAAAAACAAGTTGGTCAACGATATACCCAAGCAATCATAATAACAAATAGATTTTCCTAGGGGCCTCAATCATTTACAACAAATTTAAAAGAATTTTCTAAAACAAATTCATAGATGAAACCAAATTGCCAAGAATACCATACACTTTACTCTGACAAATACAAGTTGCCTAGCCAGTGACTTATTGACAATGATTTTATCAATAAACCATAACCACAGGACAAAAGAAAAATGATTTCGCGATTTCTATACAGACAAATATGCGCTTGTTTTGAGAGGTATGAATGTTTGTTGATACACAGATACATAATTGCTTATGTGAAGGAGAAGTGGTTTTAACCAAAGATAGAAATAATGAAATGAGAAGGCACATGATATTAGAGAAATACAAAAATCACCTGATTTTCCTTGATAATTTCCCTCATTAAAAAGAGATGGGCAATATCGGGTAGTAGGTGAATGCGAAACATTTTCAGTTGCTCCTTCATTCCAATCTGCTGTTGGGGGTTTCTTGCGGAAGGTCATGCCAATCAACTCCACTGGTCTTGTCTCCTCAAAAACCAAGCCAGTATAGTCACTATGTTTTCCACCAACACAATCTTCATTCTGCAGATCATTTTTGTAGGTCATCGCATCCATGACCACAAGTTTGTCAGTAGATAAGGAAGTTCCACCTGCGTTGTAATTTTTGTGGATGTAACCATCCATCCCAAGCACTTTGTGCTTACATGGAGAAGCCGATAAACACCAAGAACCACTAGCTCCTGTTTGCTGTAATCTATCATCAGGAGAATTTATTTCCGTATGAGATTTCGAAGTGTAGGCATCAGAATTTATGGGTTCTGCAGAAGCTGCTCGAAAATCAAACTCTTTACAATTGTAAGTTTCACAATTACCAATAGAAATTGCACAGTCATGCTTCTCGGTGTAAAAGTTCAATGCTAACTTCTTCTCCATCTGTTCAGGATGGCCTCTGTTAGACTGTGGTGGATTATAAATGCTAGACAATTGGGGTAAATTACAATACATCGAATCAGAATGGGTAGGCTTGAAGCCAACAACCTCATGATATTCCTTTTGTTCGTTGGCAAGTGATGGCCTATGGTTGAGAGATCCAGGGGCCTTCTTGTCAAGCTCATCTTGTAGCCCATGAAAATCTAATTGTTTTGGGCAAAAGAAAATAGGTGTTTCTTTTTCTCCCTTCAAATGAACCTTTTCACTCCTAACAGATCCACAATCAGCAGGCGCAATTTGGCGGCTTCGCTTTCTTCTCATCAAGTCCCGCACAGAGCATTCAACTAATGTGCTTGCTTCCAGTTTATCACGGTTATTGACATGTACATTTCTATTTAAAGGATCAGAAGTTTTTCCCAAATCATTTTCAGCTGAGAAACTTGCGCCTAAATATTCTTTAATTTCATCAGCACATGCTTCAGTTACACTGAAACTGGCACTATCCAAATTATACTTCCTCTTTTCAGCCGCAGAAAGTGGTAAAGAGCCCCACAAAGATTTTTTCCTTTTGCTCTTAGTACTAAATGTTTTGCCAATATCCTGGGAAGACCTCTTAAATTCAGTTTTTATGTCTGTTTTTGATGAATTTGCAACTGGACCTGCAGAAGGTGATGGGGATATATCATCACCAGAACCATCTGTTTGGGAATTATCTTTGCCAGATGAAATTTCAGTATGATCAAAAGAATGAGAATTTCTTTCCTTCAGACCCTCAAAGTCAATTAAATCCCCAACCGAATCTAGAATATCCTGACATTCTTTCTGTGACTCACTCTCATAATCGATACTGGCTTTCTCTAGCACCTTATCAATGGTTATTGCAGGCAACAAAGGAGTCAGAATAGTCTCACAAACAAGTTCATCATCTGAGTTTATATCTTCAGCAGCATGAGAAGTGGCAAGCCACCTTAAAAGCCCCAAAGCTTCTGTATCTGTAGACTGTAGAAGTGTGAATTGATAAATATAAACTGATAGTACAAGTAGAAAAAATTGAAGCCTAAGCAGTTTCAAATAGCCCATAAGGTTAATCATAACCACCTATGAATCTACTAAATTTTATGCATGCACAATTCAAAACCACAAATCCAGCAATGAGAAATGGACAAAAATTATCCTTATTGGTATTAGTGTGTCAGTAGAACTAACCCTGTCATGAAGAAGATGCTTGCATAGCATATGCCTGGAACGGTATTCCACAACCCTCAAGGCCTTAATCACACTTGCAAGTCATATAATAACTTATTAATCTATAAGGGATTTACTTTGGAAGGAAATTTATTAAATGCCTGATTTAAAAGATGGTATGAGGGTTTCATTAAGTTCTTTAATGGTAGGAAAGATACAAATTCATTCTAAAGCACCAATCAACACCTTTTCAGCTAAGATATAAAATTCTGTCAACTATTATAAATTATCATGCACAGAAATTTGCCCACTCAAAAAATAAAAGTTACTAAAGAAAAAGGATTCTATGGAGAGAAAAAAAGAGATTCAGAAGAGCCAACAATGCATTCACATGGCTGCTTCTATTACCCAATAAGAAATATAACAGCTAATGGCCCCAAAATTCACATGGCTGATACTTATAAATGCATAGGAATATAAATAGTCAAGAAATGAAATCTCTGCCCAAGAGTAAAGAAACACTAACATTCAGGAAGGCAGACACACAAATTATACAAAAGCTACCTTTGGGTCAGAGGTAAACTCTGTTTCTGATGATTGTATTTCACCAAAACACAATAGTTCAGGACAGACATCATTTTCTTCAGATGATGCAGCATTCATCTCCTTTCCACATGGCTTATGATATTGTAACCGAGATTCAAGCAGGTCTTTTTCTTCCAAACAATTCAGTGCTCGTGGAACAGTGTGCTTTGAATTGATATGTGTAGATCCAACCAAATTTTCCTCATCAGCTGACGGCACAACTGAATGTTCAAATCCCAATTCATTGCAAGACAAAGTTTCTTCAATTTTGCTGCACAATTCCATTACTTTGTTCTCAAATCCAAGACCAAGTGAGAGAGCTTTCAAAACATCTTTGGAAAGTGGCTTGTCAGGGTCAGAAGGTAGAGCAGTCTCATCCATCCCTGTCCTTTCATATTCTTCCTATAACACCAATGGTAAAGATTAATAAAAGAACAGACTATTAATTTGCTTCATCTAGAACAGTTTATAGGAAGGAAAAGGCCAAACCTCCCAAATTGGAATAAGTGACTGAACCATTTTCATATTGGAACAGGTTTGTGATAGAGATATGTTTACTTTGAATTGCTGGTTAAGAATGTCTGAAAAGTAAAAGTAGTGAACAATTTTAGATACACAATGAAGAGTATATATGGAACTGACTGCAAAGCAAAGCCATACAAACCATCAATAGTGGTATCTCCCTCAAGTTCACAAAAACTTTGACGTTTAACATTGCAAGTGTCTTGGTCTAATGACCCATAAAGTTCAGTTGAAATGTGCCACATCCATTCAGCTGGAATCGTGGAAGATATCCAAACTGGGGAACTTACACACACATCACAACTTGAATCTGCCTAATTGCAATTTCCATATCATAAAAGAGAATAAGATTTCAAACAGAAAAAGAAATTCATGGCTTTATGAAGCATCTGACAATAAAAGGGGGGAAGAAAGACAAAAATGACCTGAAAACCACCAGACTCCAACGTCAAGTCACCTATCTTCTTCCCATGTTGACCATAGTAATTAAATGTTCTTGGATGGAAAAGATCAGGTACTGGATTTCGGAACTTCATCCTTGATAAATGAAGATGACCCATCCCATACAAGTTAAAATCCACCTACAAGGAAAAGCAAGCTGAGATCTCGAAAACATGTTTAAAAAGAAGAGCAGGATCAAAAAAGTAGCAATATTGAATATCCCAAGGAGAGAATAGTTTGTATGAAGCATTTAAAGAAATAATAAGATTATTTTCAAGATCAATAAAAATGCCACCATAAAATTTTCACAACCATTCATGCCAATGGCAGTTATGTTTAGCCAATTGATCAGATTTAGAAAACCAAATGTAAGTGTACCGGGCTATACTAGAAATAGAATTAACCAATTTGACAAAGAAAATGCAACAGAACTTGTACATGCCGACAACTAAGCATCGAAGGAAGTAAAGTAAATAGATAAAGTCAATTTGAAAATGAAAAATAAAATAGAAAGTAAACACCTCTGGCCTCCCTATACAACAATTTTAACACACATTTGTGCAGTAACATGAGCATGCCTAAATCTGTGAACCAATAGTACAAAATCGTTTACCTATTACAGGCATTTTAACAAATCCACCATCACAAAGCACTGTCTGTGACTCAGATTTGTGGAATAGTTGTGTCAAACAAACAAAAGGAAAGTCACAATATATATATGAGAGAACAATAGAAAGTGACAAAAATGCAATGTTGACATTCACATAAAAAGAAAAAGCCATGTACTTACAAGAAACTGGAGAATAAATGGAATGTGCGATTCATGAGGCTGCAAGCTTTTATCCAGAACGGCACCTGCCTGAAAAAACAATAGCATTACAAGCTTATATTGTTCAGAACATGCACATACATATATATCTACCAATGTGCATGTGCACATAGCCAAACAAAATGATAATGTAAACATTCCAGAAAGGAAAAAGAAAGTTAACTCCTCCTAGCATTTAACCAACAATGTCCAAGGGCTTTCTGGTATACCACACTGTCAACATGCCAGTCACTGGACATTTGTTCAGCACAAGCAATAACCTATGAGTTTGTTAAGTAAAACCCTAAGATCAAAACTGATCTGAGCCCACAATGCAAAAGCATAAGCAGAAAGTGACAATTAAATGCCATCTCTGTATTTCTAACTGCCATGCAACCTAGGGAACAATTATAAATTGTTTTCTTTAAATTTTCTAAACAGAGAAACAAGAAGGAATAATTGGGACAAAGAAACATAATTTTATATGCACGAAATGCTCATTAATAGGTATGCTGAACATATTAGACCACTTCTAATGACAAAGACCATCTACGCCTCACTATGGATCTGAGATCAGAAGGTAAAAGCAGTGTAGCATATATTCAATAGTACAAATGATTACAAGATGGTGATGCTGAGGATAAAAAGGTCCAAAACAAGAATCAATGAATGAAAACCATATACAAAATCCAAGAATGATAGTGATGTTAAGCAACAACTTGAATACCAGTAACAAGTCCATACCAGAAGAAGATAGGCAGCACGGGAGACATCATGTGGATAGTAGCTTGGATCATGTCAAGGTCCTCAGAATGATACTCTTAATCTAATTTATGAATACAAAAAGTTGTTTGTTTCAAAAGAAAAAAGAAAGAAAAAAAAAACAACTCTAACATAATATAATATTTGGATACAGATAAATCTTTACAAATAGCTCCTCAGATGAATGATAACCATAAAACTTCTTTGCTCGTACAAGGCTGCAACCATGCACATGCTGCCGTTTCGAACCAACACCACCTTTAATCTACAAGCTCAAGTCAAAACAAATTCACACCATATCTGCTGCATCAGCAACATAACTAGAAAACAAGGTAGGCCACAAACACAAATATATAACCAGAACTCCATTGAATTCAACCAAACATACTTTCAAGGCTTTCTCTAAGGCAAGAGCTAAGGCGTGTGTGCATGCATCATCTGTGATAAAATTGACAAGGCAAACAGTTTACTTCAAACATTACCCATAGTATACAAAAAAGCAAAGAGTGAAACATCATTACAAACATCCTCAGTACCTCCTTGGTGCGTTTGAGAGCCCTGAGGTAACATATCTGTGAATGGAACATACAAATACGGCAAAGCCTACGAGAAATAAGATGCAACAATTAAGCCAACATAAACAAGAAAGCAACCATAGTTAATCAAACTTACATAAAACAAGTTTACTAAAAGCAATTATTTTCACTCATACTTAAAGGATTAGTTCACAATACTATGCAAACGCATCGGTGTATGCTAATGCATCGGTGTATGCTAATAAGCTTAGTTTGCTTAACAAATACATAGCCATCTCGAATTACAAAACAAATAACAGTTAGATCATCCTCAAATTACGCCAATTTTCTTAACTAATTACAAAATCCAAGCCAAATAACGATTGAGCGAAGACAACAAGAAACTTACTCTATGAATATGCAAACAAGTCTTCTGACCGGCCGGTGTCGAACCATAGATTCTTATGACCGGAACTTCATTCACTTTTTCACCTTCAAAATTTCAAAAAAAAAAAAATCAACAATTAAATTTAAAATAAACTCGAATTCATAAACATTTTAGCTTCATTACAACCGAAGAGTAGCTAATCAAACTTCTTAGAATTTACTCGAAAATTAAGAGACTGTTAAAAAAAGCCCAAAAAAAAGGAAAAAAATTGTAAATTAAATCGTACCTTGAAAGCTACTATAGCAAATATCGAAGCCGGGGATTGGCGGTGCCATGTAATGATCGATGGACACGATTCGAACACTGAAAACGTTCGAATCCGGCTGTGAATTCGACATTTCGATTTCTCTTTTTTATTCGGCAAGAGTGAGGGATTTAGATTTTTTTTTTTCTTCTTTTTCTTTTTTTCGCAAGATTGGAACGGAGAAGTTGCTGTGGAGTGAAAATTTTTAGTTGGCGCCAGTTCTCTTTTTTTGGGGTTTTATAGAAGCGAAGAAAATTTCATTAACTTCTCAGGCACTGCACCGAATTTGACATTTTAATTAAAGATTTATATACAGTGTCCTTTTATATACAGTTAATGTATGAGAATTAATTAATAAAATAATTATACGATAGTATTTTATTAATAAATAAATTTTTTAAAATATTTTAGTTTATGTATATTTATTTTAAACATTAATATTTATTTCTTAATAAAATATGATTATTATTAATAATATTTAAAATATATACTAATAATATATCAAATATAAATTTTTTAATTAAATTCTTTACAGCTTCCCTAATTTACACTGACTTTTTATTTTAAATCTTGAACTTTTTAGACCATTTCGTTTGTCAAAACCAATATATTTATAGAGACATTTTACTTACACTTTTTTTCTAATTATCACACTTTTTAAAATTATTTTTAAATAAATATACTTAATTATATTCTTTATTCACACACTTTTTACTTTTAAATTTTCAAATTTACATATAAGATTTTTTATTTTTTTCAAATTTAAATGTAATTTTTTAATTTATCAAATATAAAAACTTTATCAACTATATAACTTATTAGATATATTTTTTATAATTCTAAAATTAAAATAAAAAAATAATTAAATAATTTTGCTCAAAAAATTAAATAAGAAATAGGTGTAAAAAAATAGAGATGTATTTAAAACTCCTCATATTTGTATCCTATAAACTTTTTATTTTTCCAAAAATAGGTTTTTGATTTTTTTTTTCTTTTCAATATTATCACATTAAAAATTAAATAACATAATTTTTCATTAATTTATCCAACGAGGGCATGCATCCAAAGTAAACATGTTAATGGGCTTGGCTGCCCACTAAGTCTATGGGCCAACTCAATTCGAACCAAACCTTAAGAATTTTCAAGTTCTAACCCAGTCCAATTTATTTGAAATATTATTCAATTAATAAAATAATATATTTTATTTAATTTCTAACTTAAAAATATATTTAATAGTATTAAATTTTAATTTTTTAATATTTTAATAATTTTTAAATAGAATCAAATTTAAGAGAGCATATTGTCTGTAATTATTATAATATAATTAATTAATTATAATTTAACATTATATAAAGTTACATTTTTAAGTGATGGATTTTTATATCATTTTTAATTGTAATTGATTAATTATAATATTACAATAAAGAGAATTATAAGTAAAATGTTCTGTAAATTTAAATAAAAAAATTTTCAAAAAAAGAATCTTCCCCCAAATCTTATAAGAGGTCTCAACCAAATATTCACCCAAAGCATCATTGTAGCAATACCAACAAATATTCTCTACAATAATAATAGTAGTACCTAAATTAAGAACAATAGCCTTGCAAAGAAGCTTACAAAGTGAGGGGCTTATATTGAGACACTGTCTGGGAATTCCCATGCCAGTTAGTCCAGCTTCACTGGTGGGAAACAACAGAATATATGGCACGTTGACTCGATCAAATAAAAAAAAAATTATGCCAAGGAAACCACTTTCAGGATTGGATTCGAGCTCAACAAATTCAGGGCCGCCTTTTTCAAGCATGAAGTTGCGACTGATGGCTGGGCGCACGACTCGGCAGGTAGCCTCCATAAGGGTATTGTCCAAAGTTGACAGCTGCTTGAAGAGCTGAAGCCACCCATATATATAAAAATAAACTCTATCTTCTTGGAATTTTTTTTGTTGGGTTTAATTAGAAACGAAAAATGAATATCAATAACATGTTTCTGTTGAACGCTAAGACTTATGATCCGGGGATAGATAATAAAATGCACATATATTAACATAATTTAAGATATAAAGATGAAAAATACTATATTCATCTCATACTCTATCTATTAACATACGAAAATTCCTTCATAAGATGCACGAAAAGCTTTAAATTTTTTTTTCTTAACCATCAGAATTGATATCCAATGCCATATATGATTTTGGGATGAGATTTGATGATAAGAGCAAGAAGCATAAAAGATTATACGGTCCCAACATACCACACGTTATATTAAGTCAAGGGGATTACAAAGTGGGAGCAGAGGGCATACATCCCAAGGTAACAGGAGTAAACACACTAGAAGCATCCCTAAGAGATCAAAGCCCCTACACAGCTTTACTTGGAAGCAAACACAAATTACTACCTCGCATAAAAGGAAAAATATTAGTAACACACCAAGTTCCCATAACATCGCACTAATATTTGGGCAGCAATGGTATTCACGTGTAGTAATACCAACAACATTTATTTAGCATAATATTGATGCCCTTAACTAACTTAGATTGAGATGCTATTAGGAATTCCCTTTCCAGAAAGTCCAACTTCACCAGTTGGAAAGAGCAAAGTGTATGGCACATTCACTGGACCGACACGATTCTTCAATTTCTTGTCCTTGTTCATGCTTATGATTTCTTCTTCAATTTCAGCAAGTCTGTCATGAAAAGCCTTAAAAACTGCCACTGGTTCTGCATCTGTCGTCCAATCAGGCTCTCGTTGTCCAAGATACACCTCATCTGTTGCGTGCCTTGACAGAACTTCTACCACGGTAACGCCGGTGAGGCAATTTAGTTGCGAAGTAATTGTTTTGAAGAAAGCCTTCTCAAAGTTCTTTTCAAGCTCAGCATATTCAGGAGTGCCTTTCTCAGGCATGAACCTGCGGCTTTGTGTTGGACGGTTTGGGGAGTAGCCTCCATAGGCGTATTGTCCAAAGTTGACCGCTGCATGGAGAGCAGAAGCTATCCATATAATAATGGTGCAAGATTCTATTAGCTCTTTAAGAGTTTGCATTTTAGGCCACCATGGTTCATGTTTCTTGTCACCATGCCCCACCTCTCGCAGTTCCTTCCACCAGGCTTGAAGTTCAGGGTCCTGTTGAACCATTTCATCCCTCTTGTAATAGAAGGAGCAATAGTCTCTGACCCATTTTTCAATTGCAAACCAGATCTTCAGCCCATCAACAGCATATGGATAGTCTTTTATCAGTAGCCGATCAAGATCATCTAGGGAATTTATATCACCAACTGCAATTCCTCTGAAATAGAAAACAAAAGGTCATGTCGTTTCCATGAAAACATATATATTAGTTACCTAGCTATTTGTCACTAAAATTATATTACCTTTTCTTGAGATCATTGGGGAGTGCCTGGTCCAAGAAATTCCAACTCTTGTAAATTTCTGATGACATCTCCATGGAATATTTCCCCGGGTAAAATGTTTTCTCTAGCAATCCATCTGCATTCACAAGAATTTCCCTCGCCAATGCATTAATAGCCATCGTGTCACGAAAGTGAGGGTGGAGAATTTTATAAATTGGATGAACCACACTCAGCTGCCTGTTTGTTGCAATCAAAAATGGCTCTATAACTGCGTGAGTGTTCAACCTGAGACCAAATTCCAGAGGCACGAAATTAACTACATCCTTATTATACGAATGGCTTTATACTTTATTCTCTTGTGCTATTAGTAGACAGGTGTGGGATAAGATTCTTCAAATGTTTCTTTCCTTTAGTAAATAAAAAAGAATTGCGTGATAAAATAAAAATATTTAAACTGAATTCCTAATATGACGGATCCTTACCAGTGGCTTATTAGCTGATGATAACCACCATCATTAACAGCTACATAAGCTTTAGCTAACTGCCAAATAGAACCCTCAACTCCATGCTGCGCTGGAGTGTACACCTTGCTAGCGGCACCAAACTTATCTCCTTCTGGATGTAGCGAGCTCAATTCAATTGCCACCGGCTTCAATGTGTTGTCGCCTCTCAAGAAGAGAAGTGCCCTAGATGCATAAGTCTTTGTTTCTGTAGTGTTTATCCTCCTGAGGTAGGGTATCACTGTATCATGATGATCCAATATAAATAGCCTTTTTGTCCTCAGTGCCTGTGCAACCAAAATCCCTTTTAAGTTAGATTTCTTTTTTTTTTTTGTTTGTATTTGAGGTTATCAAGATTTCAATTTAGATATTGAAACTAAGAATCCAGCACTCTATCAACATATAACACACTGTTAGCATCAAGTTATAAAGAGGTGAATTAGATAAAAATCATAGGTTTTTAGAGATAAATTATTAAATGAAAAAAAATGACCTCTTCAACGCTGAGTCCATCTAAGTTATACTCAATGTCTTGTTTGGTCATAGAACTGTTTTGATGACCATACACTTCAGGATCCAGGTTGCTAGTTGGAGGAAATTCCTGTAGTAATCGATTTAGTGGTTATAATTTGACATGTAAAAGAATATGAACCTTGTATGTATCTCATTTCACATCCACATACTAAACTCCAGTTAATGACATGTGGAAATAAAGAAAATTGTTTTCAGTGTTTTTTTGTTTTCTAATATATATCAGATTTGTTGACAAATTCTGGTTTAGGCTTACTTTGAGAAGACGAATGACAATAGGGTTCACTCCAGCAAGCATTTCTCTTGCAAATTCTTCATCTGTTCTCCATGCAGTTGGAGGCCTATTCGTATCAGCTGCACCCAAGTGATAATTAAAATATTAAATATGGCAGGACAAAATGTATTATCTGATCTTACTTTAGCAATATTTTAACGTATATAAACTTTTTATACCTTGAATCACTTGAGGCACTGGAAATTTTACGAGTTGCTCTCCATCTGACCGAAAAATTTCCTTTATCATCAGTGGTAAGGGGATGTTATTTACAAGTTGATTGACAGCATCAGTAGGAAGTTGAATTCCATTGAAGTAGAGTTCGTCTATGTCCTTGAAAGTGTCGAACTCTTTAGGAGTTAAGTTAACAATAGCTTGAACCGTGGGCATGATATCATGAAGAAAGCCTTTCAGATTATAAGCATTAAAGTCTGACTTCTTCAAGCGACTGAATTGCTCATCTCTTGGGACGTAAACGTTATACATAGTGCCAGGTAGCTCTGGAAAGTCTCTGCTCTCACTGTTAGGATCTATATATAAAATGAAAATGAAGAATCATATTTTGCAGACTCGATATAATTAATTAGTAATATTGTATATTTTGTCTGACCTGATTTTGATGGTTTTCGACCTGTTCTTCCTCTCCGAGGATAAGGATACTTGGCAGACCCTCCAAGAACAGGTCGAGCCAGTTGTGAACCCTTGTCAGGATCCCCCAAATCATTGTACAAAGCATAGTCATAGACACGATCCCATTCCTTGAGCTCGCCCTTACCATTTCCTCTCAAAATCCTTAGCTCTTCCTCTCTATACTTACGAAGTGGTTCTGGCGTTTCATGTGGAAGATATGTCTGCATAAACATAAAATCTCTTTTACTTTGATATGAATGATCATCTACCAGTGAAATTCATAGATATGGAAAATCATCAAACCAAATCACTTACCTTGTTAGCAAAGAAAATGCGGTCATGACCTGGAACATTTTTGTGATTGTAAACCCATGAGTTGCAAACAAAGAGGATCTGACCTCGACCTGGAACATTTTCTAGTGTGACAGTCTTGAGGTAGAATTCACCATGATGAGTATTTCGTACCAAGATAGCACCCGGTGTCCCAAAGTCCTCATTCCATTCAAAGTTAACATTGAATTTTGATTCCCCGTATAATTGTTCACTATCAATAGTGTTCCAGTTCGGTAAAGTAACCGGGGCTCCAACTTTTCCTCCCTTTGCTACAAAGGCACATCAAAATGTCAAAGTTAAGCAGCTGGTAGATCGAATCGTCACCCAAGCAATTACTTGATTGTCTCTGAAACGAAGTTTTAATTCAGTAAAAAAAGAAGAAACTTACATGGATCTTCGGTCTTGTCAGCACTAACTAGTTGTAGGGAAACCTTTTGGATGCCTAAACCCTCACCAATGGTATCAGCGGGGCCTGATAACCAGTCACCAAGATCGTTGTAATCCGACATGGTCTTCCTCATTAGAACAACTGTGGCAGGAATCTTGTGCTTGTCGGTTGCCATGGGGAACATTGATTTGAACATCTTTGATAAGGCAAATTGAGAGATCGTGTTTAGTTATGTTGGATCGTTGGCTTTGTAAAATGTGGGACGAAGAGTTTGATATTTATAGCGAAAAACTGGTCGGTCTACCTATAAACCATGCAAGGTCTTTGTTTTTTCATTCATTTTCTTTTCATTTTTTTTATTACACCACAAACAATTTATTTATGTTGGTCCATTTGTTTATTGTCTATTTCATATAATTACTTATATAGGTTACACAAACATCACAAAATAAAAGATAAATATTTTATTGACGTTGTAAATATCATACTTAATTTGTAATATATTATTCACTTTGATCTAAAAATCTCAAAATTTTATTTCACAAAATATGACTCACAGATTTAGATTTAAATCTTATTATATCATACTATGTCTACACATTCTTCTAATGTGGGATTGAAAGCGTCACTGTCTCTTTACATTTAAATCTTAATGTTTCTATCAAGTCAAGTCTAACCATAAGACTAAGATCATATCAAACATTGAGATTTTAGAAATAGCTCTCTACTGTATAGTACTTAGTTACTCTCGCAATGTAACACTTAGTTTTCGCTTACTGATGATCATTTTGATATCATTTATGAAGATTTACACTTAATTTATGAAGTATTATCCGTTTTAACTCAATTTTTTTTATTTATCTCACAAAAAATATTTCATAAATTTAAATTTATATCTCTATATATATCATATTATATATATATATATATATATTTTAACGTGTGATTGAGGGCGTCTTAGACGTCTATGTAATTTTGTGGATGCATGCATATATATATAAAGACAATTTTAAAATTCCTTGTGCTTTTTCTAGTTTTTTTTGTCACTAACCCATGACACCAATTTGGCTTCCAACTAAAAGATTTCGAACAGAAACGGCCAAAAAGCATCGTGCTCCACGTTTTCTAGTTAATGATTTATGTTTTATTATTATTAATATATATTAAAATTAAAAAAAATATAAATATAATAATTTAAAATATGACATAATGACATAATATAAATATAATATCAAAATAAGATACAAAAATAATATTTTAAAATTTTAATAATAATTATATACATATTTAATATAATTAAAATTTTTTATTTTAATATAAATTATGAAATATAATTTTTATGTAAAATATAATATAAATATATAAATTTTAATATTTTACATAAAATAAATATATAAATTATCATGTCTAAGATGCATCGTGTTGCACTTTTCTATTCAAAGCTTTCATCAAATCAGCAGAAGCAACCCGTGACCGGTTGAAATTCCCAACTGGACTGAGGCCATGTTTGGCAGAACAATGCAACGCTATGGGGTATTTTTCAACTGCACTAAACCCTTGTTTTCTCACTCAGCATCAGTTGACTTATCATCCTCTTCAGTGAAAATTCTCTTTTTTATAGTTATCAGAACTGAATTAGGCTGTTAGTTCAATCCAGTGAACCGATGAACTGATACTGAAACTAATATGATTTTATAATTAAATTAATTTTACAATTAAATTATTATGAAACAGCAATTTACATAATAAATTAGTAAATCGAGCAATTTTTTTTAATTAGATTGGTTCAATACTAATTAATAAGTTTAAGTAAAATATGAAAAAAAAAACTCTTCAAATATTCAAAGTAATCCAATTAAATCTTTATACTACTATTTTATCTAAATAAGCCTCCAATTCTTATTTTTTACTATTAAAGTCTTTGTGTCATTATATTAATGATATATTAGCATATTTTAAGATACGTGAATAATAATATTGTCAAAAAAAACTTATACATGTATAAAAATAAGTAATTTTTTAAAAAAAATGATCTAATAAAAAATTTTATTAATTGATATCATAATTAAAATAATTATAAAATAATAATATATAAAATTAATAAAAAATAAAAGGTTAATAAAAATGATTAATTATTTGATCATGATCGAAAATAATTAATAAAAAAATGTATATATGTAAAATTAATAAAAAAATACATTCATATAAAAAATAAATAAATGATTTTAATTTCTTTTTCACTAATTTTCATATAAATATAAACATTTTCATTTTATTAATTTTATATATAGATATTTCTTTTTTATTACATAAAGATTAATTATTATATATTAATAAATAATATTTATATTTAATAAATATAAATATAAATAATTATTAATTATTATTTATTGTTTATTATATTTATTAAAATATAAATATTATTTCTAACTATTAAAATATAAAATATGATTTTAATAAAATGTTAAGTAATTTCATAGTAATTAATTGTTCTATAAATTTTATATTTTTTAAATTATGTAGTTTATGATATATTTTAAAATTTATAATTTTATGATTGAATTATTAAACTATAACTTTAGTTAAAAGTTTGAATTTTGAAATTTTAATATTTATATTTTTTATAATATTTTTTATTTAACCGATAATTGATCCATTAATCCAATGATTGAACCATTTACCCGATAATCCGAAATCTTAAGTGATTTAATATTCGATCCGGTTCTGATAATTATGTTTTTTTTACATTGCAACTCTCCTTTGCTGTATTACCTCATCTCTTTCAATATTTTTTCTTTTTTCCCCTAAAATTATAATGCATGGATATATATATCCCTACACTTATAGATTGGTTTGGCATTTTTATCATTTGTTTAGTTTTTTTATTTTTGTTATTTTATTTTCAATTTAATTTTTTCTAATTAATTTTATTATAATTATTTAACATATCATTTATATAATTAATTAATTAATTAATTAATAGTTAAAATAATAAATGCATAAATAAATAATCAAATAAATCAGTAGTGAATGAAAAAATAGATAACTATATAAATAATAAAGTAAATAAATATTAGCTGTTTTTATTTTAAGATGTATAAATATATTAATATTTTTTACAAAATATTTTTTGTTAAATTTAATATATAAAAAAATATCATTATTAATTTTTAACAAAATTATGATTTATAAAAAATAAAATTTATTATACACAATTTTAATCTAATATCCTAAATTTATAAATTTTATTATATATATTTTTTATTTTTACTATATTTCATCTTGCCTATTACTTTTACATCTAAACATATATTTCACCACTTATTTTAATTTCATTGCTATAGTAATCAATCAAATAGCTACAATAATTAATCTCATATCCACTATTGTTTTCAATTTTACTAAAATCAATCTTACCATCAATCCAAACAAATCCAAATTTTTCTTTTTTTTTTTTTATAGTTAAACCATTAATTGTCTATTAATATTGTAATTAATTTACAATAGGAAAGTATAAAAGTTTACAAACAAAGGCAAACATTATTTAATTAAGTTAATAAATCAAATATGAACTAATTGTATATATTCATAATTTATTCATTTAATTAACTAATTTTAAAATATAATTCGTAACAATTTATTAAATTTAATAAATAAATAAAAATCTAATATGTTCAACTCATTGAATATTCTATTCATTTACATCTCAAATATAAACTACTATCATAAATGAATTTTATTATATTTTTAATCTATTTATTTAAGTAATAAATTTTAAATATTATTCATGATCGTTTATTAAATTTAATAAATAAATAAAAATAAAATTTATTCATAAATTATTTATCAAACATTCTACTCATCTACACACCCCTAACAAAGAGATAACAATATTGCAGTAATTAGGGTTATTGGTTAATTAATTATTTGTCTCGATGAAATTATATAACTTACGAAAATTTTCATCATGTTTCGATACTGTTTGTTTAAACAAATATTCTAACCCTAACACATAGTCAGTTGCACTTGATCCTTACCTTTCTAATTATTTTTGCAATTAAAATTTTATGTTCCAAATATAATTCTTCAAAACGGATTTGGTATTCTAAATTGTAATGATTTGGGAATGGTTGAAGAAAATGCTTGACCTTTAACTTGCTAATAATTACCAATTTGTAATTTAGATGAAAATATCGTTGGAACTTTTATTTCATTTTAATTTCCACCAGTAAATTATTTATACAAAAATGATATAGAATTGCTTTAAAATAAAAAATTTCTAAAAAATATGTGGGCCCCACTAATTACAAAACAAAAACCAAAAAATCGTTTAAAAAAATTTGAGTAACGTACTAAAAAACAAAAAAATAAACGGGTCTCGCGTCCTTTAAAAATTCATGTGAACCTTGCCGATTAAGAAAAAATCGGTTGAAAAAAAATTTTAAATCCTACATGTTAAAAAACAAAAAAAAAAAAAATGTGAACCTCGTAATCTTTACAAATATTTAAAAAAAAAAGAAAAAGGAAAAAGTCAAGAGATTATCACGTTGTAAGTCACTTAGACAACACGTGACCATTTCTGTTGCAAATATGTAGTATTTATATTAAGGATTTCTCAAATTTCGACGATGAGAAGCTTAGAATCACAAGAGTAAAAGAGAGTGATTAGAGATAAAAGGTAAAGAATGTTATTCGTATTTGTATTTTGATATTTAAATAAAAAACTAGGATTAGAGAAGTAGTAAGGAAAGAAAAATAAAAAAATAAAAAAAAGTTAAATTAAATTGATAATAGATAAATAATTTTATTTATAAATAAAATATGAAGAATATATAAAATACAATCATGATGTAATTAAATTGATATAATATTATATATATCAAGTCAACATATCATATTAGATCAATTTAAATATCAAAAATATTTTTAATTATTTGTTGATAATTTTTAATTATTTGTTGATAATTTTGAATCCAAAAATACCTTTAATAATCATGAGCCACCCAATTACTACAAATACTCCCAAAATTTTACCATCACCAGTAATCGTTGGTAATCAAGTGTGTTACACGTTGAATCTGTCTTGCATATAGAAAAATCCACGGCTGACCATCAGTAATCGTCGGTATTCAAATGTATTACACGTTGAATCTGTCCATATATATAGATTAATCCATGGCCGAAGATTAAGAGTGAATGTACTTTTATCATGAGAGTAGATTTTAAGGGTATACGTGCTGCAATTTCAGGGATGTGGGGCTGGAATGGAATATGCATTAATGCTTCTATATCACTAACAGAACTAGCTAGAACAAGCATTATAACAGATGTGGAAGCCTCGACCTCCCATTTCTGGTCATCAAAGTGGAAGCCTGGATTTGGCAAATATTTGATGAAATGGAGTTAATTTCCAAGGTTGACAATTGAGAATGACCACTTCCTCTTTGGTAGTGTTAAGTCCCTTCAGGCCTGGCATTAATATGAGCCACCAAATTACTCGTCGATATTCAAGTGTGTTACACGTTGAATCTGTCAGTATATACATAGATAAATCCATGGCTGACGATTCTTCAATTTCTTGTCCCTGTTCATCTTTAATATTTCCCGTTTAATTTCAACAAGTCTATTATGAAAAGCATCAAAAGCTACCTTTATGATAATGGTGCGAGGTTCAATCAGCTCTTCTTGGACCCTTGCACTTTCATATTTAAGTATTATATTAGATATTAAATTAATGCAACCCAAAAGTGAAGGAACATGTCACTTTGTTATTGGTTACAAAAAACCAAAAGGTTTATTCGACTGCGGTTTTTGTCCATAAACTAATTATGCTACCTACATTTGATTTCTTTTAAAATTTATATAAATATTATGTCATAAATTTTGCGTTTGTGTTCACATAAAACAAATAAAAACATCTTCTTATCTCTGTCTTGACACAGGATATAAAGGATAGACTGAGTCCATCGTAATCTTGTCATTTTGTGGATCTATGCATTCGTGAAGACAATCACAAATGAAAGTTTTTTTGGGTGCAAATAAAAAATCTCGAAGTTTTTTATTGAGAGAAGCCTCAGCCGAGGCATACCTGACATTACAAATAAAAGAGAAAAGTGCTAATTCTGCTAGGAGATCAAAGCCCCCAATACAGCTTTATTTAAAAGAGCAACATTTATTTATTACAATGATGATGCCCTTCATTAACTCTCAGTTTAATTAGATGGAGATGCTGTTTGGAATTCCCTTGCCAGAAATTCCAACATCACCAGTTGGATAGAGCAAATTGTATGGCACATTGACAGGACCAACCCGATTCCTCAATTTCTTGTCCATGTTCATCTTTAATATTTCTCCTTCAATTTCAGCAAGTCTCCTATTAAAAGCCTCAGAAGCAGCTAATGCGATTGCATCTGTTGTCCAGTTAGGGGTTCGTTGTCCAAGATACACCTCATCTGATGCGTGGTTCGACAGCATTTGTACCACAGCAATGACAGTGAGGGACTGTAGCTGTGAACTCATGGTTCTAAAGAAAATCTTCTCAGGGTTCTTCTGAAGCTCAGCATATTCAGGAGTGCCTTTCTCAGGAATGAACCTACGGCTTATTGTTGGACGGTTTGGGAAGTAACCTCCATAGGCGTATTGTCCAAAGTTGACAGCTGCATGAAGAGCAGAAGCTATCCATATGATAATGGTGCAAGATGCTATCAGTTCTTCACGACTTTGCATTTTAGGCCACCATGGCTCATTTTTCTTGTCACCATGACCCACCTCTCGCAGTTCCTTCCACCAGGCTTGAAGCTCAGGGTCCTGTTGAACCATTTCATCCGTCTTGTAGTAGAAGGAGCAATAGTCTTTGACCCATTTTTCAATTGCAAACCAGATCTTCAACCCATCAACAGCATATGGATAGTCTTTTATCAGTAGCCGATCAATATCATCTAGGGATTTTATATCACCAACTGCAATTCCTCTGAAAATAGAAAACAAAAGGCCATGTCATTTCCCTCAAAACATAAGTATTAGTTACCTAGCTAGTTAATAGAGGCTTTCATTCAATAATTTGTCACTAAAGTTATATTACCTTTTCTTGAGATCATTGGGGAGTGCCTGGTCCATGAAATTCCAACTCTTGTAAGCTTCTGATGACATCTCCAAGGAGAATTTTCTCGGGCAAAATGTCCTCTCTATAATTCCATCTGCATTCACAAGCAATTCCCTGGCTAATGCATTAATAGTCATAGTGTCACGAAAGTGAGGTTCGAGAAGTTTATAAATTGGATGAACCACACTCAGCTGCCTGTTTGTTGCAATCACGAATGGCTCTGAAACTGCATGAGTGTTCAACCTGAGATCAAATTAAAAGACACTAAATTAACTGCAAACTTATTACTACTTTGCTTGATAAAAAAATATTTAAGCCTTCTTTGGCAGATCCTTATTACCAGTGGCTTATTAGCTGATGATGACCAGAATCATTCACAGCTACAAAAGCTTTAGCAAGCAGCCAAATAGAACCCTCAACCCCATGTTCTGCTGGCGTATACACCTTGCTAACAACACCAAATTTATCTCCTTCTGGATGTGGCAAGCTCAATTCAATTGCTACCGGCTTCAATGTGTTGTCGCTTCTCAAAAAGAGAAGTGTCCTAGAAGCATACATCTTTGCTGAGGTATCCCTGTTTATCCTCCTGAGAGAAGGTACAACTGTATCGTGATGATCCAATATAAATAGCCTATTGCTCCCCAGTGCCTGTGCAACCAAAATCCCTTTGAAGTTATCAAGTTGATACTAATATAAAGAGCTGAATTAGATAACAATCATAGTTTGTAGAGATTTTTCTTTTTTTATTTGAAACGGTCAGGATTTGAACCCGTGGAACTAAGTGTCCAGCGCTGTTGGGGAGATCATAAATTATCAAACGAAGAAAAAATATATATTACCTCTTCTACATTGAGTCCTTCTAAGTTATACTCTATGTCTTCTTTGGTTATAGAACTGCCTTGATGACCATACACTTCAGGATCTAGCTTGCTAGCGGGAGGGAATTCCTGCCGTTGATTTAATGGTTATAAGTTGAGATGCAAAAGTCAAATATAAGCCCTGAATGCATCTCATTTCAAATTCAATCATATTAAAGTTTCAATGTTTTATGTTTTTCAATTTTCCTTGTAATATCAGATTTCTTGGCAAAAATTGAAGATATAGCGAGACTGCACTGTGGTTTAAGCTTACTTCGAGAAGACGGATGAGAAGAGGGTTCAATCCAGCAAGCATTTGTCTGGCAAATTCTTCATCTGTCCTCCATGCAGTGGGATTACTCCTATCTGCTCCCAAGTCATTAAAATATTAAATTGGATCGATATTTATGGCAGGAGAAAAAAATTTATAAGTAGATTTTGAGCTCTCAATTTAGCAATTTTTTAACAAGAAATTTTATACTTTCAATCACACGGGGCACTGGAAATTTCAAGAGTTGTTGCCCATCTGATCGGAAAATTTCCTTCGTCATCTCCAAAGGGATGTTACTTGCGAGTTGATTGAGAGCATCAGTAGGAAGTGGGATTCCATTGAAGTAGAGGTTGTCTACTTCCTTAAAGGAGTCGAACTCATTAGGAGTATGGTTCACAAAAGCTTCAAAAAACGGAATGATCTGATTAACCAAGGATTTGAGATTATAAGCAATGAAGTCTGACATCTTCAAGTGACCAAATTGCTCATCTCTTGGGACGTAAATGTTAAAAACATTAGTCGGTAGAAAATTCCTACTCTCAGTGTTGGGATCTATGAAGATAAGAAAAATGAAAAATCATGTTAGATTCAATATAACTGAAATATATACATTAATCTCCTATATATATATATTGTTTTTCTATTGTTTAACCTGATCTTGATGGTGGTCGACTTGTTCTTCCTCGGCGAGGATAAGGATACTGAGCAGATCCTCCCAGAATAGGGCGAACTTGTTCTGAACCCTTATCAGGATTCCCCAAATCATTGTACACAGCATAGTCATAAACACGATCTCCTAGTTTGAGCTCTCCTGTCCCATCCCCTCTCAAGGCCTTCAACTCTTGTTCTCTGTATTTACGCAGTGGTGCTGGCGTCTCTTGTGGAAGATACGTCTACAAATATTAAAATGAAAAACTTGGTTAACAAATACTGTAGCCCAAATGAATCGAGCCAGGTTCAGTTAGAGATGGCAGCGGAGTGGGTTTTCTTCGAATTCAATTCATCTTTATATAATAAATACTCGAATCTCATTTGATATTAAAATATTAATTTTATATTTAATCTATATACATAAAATCGTAACTCATTCGATAAAAATTAATAAAATATTATTTTTAAAATATAAATATAAAATTAAATAAATAATAACAAACATTTTATATATACCCGATTAGAGCGAGTTTGTATAAAACTCGACTTGATTTTGACTTAAAAAAAAAAAACCTTGACCCAAAATTCAATTTTTAAAATTAAAAAAAAAAATCTGATCCTATAAGATCCGATCAAAACCCAACGCATTCGATTGGATTCTCAACCCTAAATTTAATCAGTTCATTTAAGTAATATCTAACAGGTCTAAGCTCAAAACCGAGCTGCAACCTCTTTTCCTACCCTAAATTGCGGTTTTTTTTTTTTTTTAAATAGTATAACCCAATAGTTTCATAACAATGTTGCTTACCTTGTTTGCGAAGAAGATTCGTGGTGTTTTATATTGTTTATCAGGATAAACCCAGGAGTCGCAAACAAAGTGAATTCGACCTTCGCCAGGAACATCTTCAAGAGTAATGGTTTTTAAGAAGAATTCAGCAGCATGATTATTTCGAAGGATGATAGCTCCAGGAGTTCCGAGCTCCTCATCCCACTCAAATGAAACCTTATACAAGGAATCACCACCTGCTAGTGGAGGTGTAAATGTAAGGTTCCAGTTCTGCAAACCTTCTAACTTCCCCAGCTTTCCTCCATTTCCATTTGCTACATACAAAGAGCATCATTTTCTTGAATGAATGAAATTAAACAGAAGGCAAAGAGAAAAGAAAAGTTGGCACAGAGTTCAAAGAACGAACCAGGGTCAGCATTTTCTGCACTGACGAGCTGGAGAGTGACTCCTTGGCCTACCAACTCAAAAACACCATCAGCTACGGTTGAAAGAACGGCGGTGAAGTCCAAAACATTCTTCTTCACTAAAACAACACTGCCGGTGATGGTTTTCTCCGATTTCTTATTCCCAGTAACCCCATTGACGACTTTACCCACAGAATCTAACACACCCCCCAGAATCATTTTTTTTTTCCTTAGCTAGAAAAAAGGGACTACGATATTATAAGCTAGAGTTGGATGTGCAAAAATGAGAGAAATGTTGGCCTTATTTGTAGGGAGCATTCGTAAGCCGTAATCGCCTATAATGCACCGACGCCTAATTATTAATAGCAGACAAAAATGAAAACATTTGTCGGTTCATTGATTCATGCAATATTTTTATATTTCATAGTCGAAATTTATAATTTTTTTCAGTTTATTTTATACTTAAAAAATTCAGCTTTTTTTTTTCTAAATTAAAACTTTAAATTAATAATCCTGAGTTATAATTAATGTATGTCAATATGGTTTTATATAAAAAAATATCTATGGATATATTTGTTCCTGTAGCTTGGGAAATTGGCAGGATGTATTTAATATGTTTAATCGTTGGTTTCGAGGAAATTATTGATCTTACATTTTCATTTTTTTTATATTTCCTATCTGTCAATTTGTTGAGTCTATTCGTCATTTGGTGGATCAATCAATGCATATTTACGAGCCCAGTGCCTGAGGTTAGGAAAAAAAATAGGGAATCATTTAAAAGTGTTTGCTTGATGAAATACTTAATGTAATATTTAAATATTAAAAATTTTTAATATAATATATTAATTAAAAATATATATATTAAATTAATATGATATTTAAAAAATTATTAATCTTTTATATATTACCATTTGAAATTATAATTACGGTAAGTAATATATTATTTCAGAATTTATAATTTAAATATTATATTAAAAATTTTTTAAAATCAAATATTATATTTAATATTTTATTATAATTTAAAAATTATTTATGACATTAATTTATATAAAAAATATTTCATTTTTTTTGTTAATCGAAAAATTAAAAATGAAAATGCCATTTTTATTTTTTTTCACTAACCCATTAGTTTTCTTCTAATACATTATTTTATTTAGATTTATTTTATGATTTGATTGGATTTGAATCTAATTTTAACTATAATTTTTACTTTAAAATCGATTTGAAATGTGATATTATTAAATAAATTTTGTTTTTATTTAATTTTAGTTTTAAATAAATTAAAAAATATGATAAAAAAATTAATATAAAAATAATTTTTAATTTTATGTTATATAAATTTTTTATATTATCAAATTTAAATGAACAATCTAAAATACTCAAACTTAACATTTAAACACATCAATCAAACTTAACTAAATGCGAATTATAAACAACTCTATGTAGATACCAAATTTTATCCGGATCTCTTGGATTAAATTTTCAAGTTCTGTTTATTAATATTAAAATAATTAATAATTAAATATATCAATAATAAAAATACAAAAAACAACAAACAACAAACAAAAAAAAAACAAATTATTAAAAATTAAAAAAAATAGAAAATAAAAAGCAGGAGGCTGGTGTACGATGCTGCTACCCCCTTATCCAGCCCCTATGCAGCCACCTTGCCGCCACCCTATGGCCACCCTACAGCCACCCTTACAGCCTACCCTAACCACATCTACAACCACCTAGATCCCCAGCTCCTTAAAGCCCCAACTTTTTTCCCTCTAATCTCTATCGGACAGAAGCTCAAAAATATCTTCCCACACCCAGAAAAAACACTAAGTTCGAACACACCAGAAACCCAAAATTCACTAGCACTAGTCTGAGCCTCAACCCTCATCAAACCATGTGTCACACACTTACTCCCTATGCCCGAAACCACCATACCAACATCCAACGAACCCCGATTACTACTTCCCCGCAATATCAATAAAAAAACCAAAAAATTCACACAAAAAAAAAAATCAATCACCACAGTCATCCTGTAGGGAAGAATCTAGTGCCAAAAAAGAACCTGTGAAAGGAAAAAAATCAGTTTTGGTTTATAAAAAAAAAAGATAAACTTTAAGCTTCAATCTACGATGATCGAGGTCATTTTCGACAAAAAGGAGATAGGATTAGGAAAAATAGTGTTAAAGAGAGCTTCCAAAAAAATTTTAATATTTTTCGACCATCGACGACCACTGACAAAATCGTTGGTGGTAACCTAGACAGCAACCAGAACACCAATTAGTCACCGAACTCTGGCTAAGCTAGAGAGAATTTTTGGAGGTTGGGACTCTTTTTTTCTGAAAATGGTTTGAAATGAACTAAAAAAAATGGTTTTATATCGAAAGCTAAAGCCGAAAACGACATCATTTTGGGTATAAAAGATCTGCGCATCAACTAGGATGTGATTCGGGATCCGTGTAATCCTCTCTAAGACTTGCTATTGCCTTAGCTTAAGACCGATCTAGTTGAACCAGTATTAAACCGTCAAAACCCGATCTAAATCGTAGAATTGTTGAACCGGTCAGATCGATTTAGACCAAAGTTGACCGGTCTAGTTCATGTATTTTTTTAATTTTTAATTTTTTATATTATTATTTTTGGTATTTTAAGTTTTATTTTTAATATTTATGCATGATAAATTTTTAAATTTGTTATAATAAATATTTGATTGATTTTAATAATAATAAAATGAAAACAAAGTAGGATAATAGCAAAAAAAAAAACTAAAATTGCTTAAAAAATAATAATAATAATAGAATAACAATTTTTTATTTTTCTACCTAGATATTGAAGAGAATAAAAAAATTATAATTCTGCCTAGATGTTGAAGAATTATAATAATAATAATAATAATAATAATAATAATAATAATAATTTGATATTATTAATAATAAATTTTCATTAAAAAACGGAGAAGAAGATTTTTTTTAATTAATTTTAAAAAATCATAAAAATTGAACTTATTTCAAAAGTCTACTTAGATGTTTATGTTTTTAAAATTAAAAAAAAAACTAAAATTAAAAAACCCCAAACCCTCTAAATCCTAAAATAAAATCTTAAATCCTCCAAACCCTGAAACTAAACCCTAGAACCTTAAACCCTAAAATTAAAACCTTAAATCCTTCAAACCCTAAAATCAAAACTTTAAAACCTTAAACCCTAAAACAAAACCCTAAATCCTCTAAATCCTAAAAAAAAAATCTAAATCCTCAAAAACCTAAAACTAAAACCCTAAACCTCTGACCCTAAAATCAAAACTGTAAATCTTCTAAATCCTAAAATCAAAACCTTAAACCCTAAAACCAAAACCTCAAACCCTGAAATAAAAAACCTAAACCTCAAAATTTGAAACTTCCCTAACTTTAAAATCCAAAATCCTAAACCTTAAAATCTAAAATTCTACAAATCCTAAATTTGGTACGCATTATCGAATCATCATCCGAAAGTTACCAAATTTTTAAAATCTCGACCTAAACCTGCACTCAAAACCATTTCAAAACTTTAAAGATACGTACAAAAATCTCAAGTGGAATAAATTGTTTTCGAATACTGCCTAGATGACGAAGTATTTAAAGAAATCTTATTTCATTAAATTTTTCTCATGAGTCCTTAATTCACTTTAACAATGTGGTTAATAAAAAAATAAAAAAAGTATAATAACAAAGTGGGATTTTAAATATGAATAGTCACACCTAAGTTTCACCTAAATGTTGGGAAGTCAATGTGGTCTCATTATATTTAAGAATCTAATTTTAAATTTGCATTTCATTAACATACGCACCACCTATTAGCTCACATACATTTATTTGTTATTATTTGTATTTGTTTGCATTTATTTGTCTTTAATTTTTACTTGCTATTCGATAATACCATCATTTACTTTTTTTTACACAAAATATTTTTTTTATTTACTTACCTTTAAAATTATGATATTATAAAATAAATAAAAAAACATTCTAAAGGGAATAATTTTTAGTACTCTACCTAGATGTTGGAGAATTACCAACAGTATCTATTGCAAGGAGTGTTATTTTCATTTTAAGGGATATTATATTAAATCTTAAATGAAAAGAGTTATTTTACCTAGATGTTGAAAAATTTTAAGATAATTATTTAAGTTAAAGATTTTCTCAATATTTCTAAATAAAGGTTTTAGCAAAAAATATTTTTAAAATGAAAGAAATTAGTATTAAATTTTAAATTAAAACTATTTCATCCAATATTGAAAATAGCGTATAATTAATTAGTACTAATTTATGAACGTTGTTGGAATACTAATTTTTTTCTACTCATAACCGATTCTCAAACTCAAAATCTATTTTTATAGATCAAAATTTATTTTTTTGATAAACTTTAAACCCATTTTATAATTTTATTAAAAAGATAATATTTCAGATGATTAATCACACCTTAAAAAAATTGATGATAACTCTTTTATTTTTTCTTAATTTTAAAATTTTTTATGTCTAATGATTCTAAATTATTACGATACTATGCTTATACACAATTAAGATCAGATTATAAATATAATTCTTTCTTTGTTTTTCTTGAAAAAAGATAAAAAAATCATCACTAAGCACATGAGTTTTGCACATTGGGGGATCATATTAATTAATATAAGATTTTTGCAGCAACAACCACATTAATTTGTATGGCCAAATTAAAGAGCGGGACCCCTCGCGTTCTGATCGAGAATACGATGTATCAATGAATGTGCGGATAGATCTTGCATGGCAATGGGACAATAAATTTATTAGCACGTGAAAATGGAGTTAATTTGCGGCAGTACCGACAACTGATTTGATTCTTCTTGGCATTCTCAATTGTGCATGTGATAAACCTTAATCTATCGATATGTATAAAATAGATTAAAATTATCTCTAAATCGATGTTACGCTAATGAAAGCCAAATTTTTGTACAACTAAATGTTGTCATAACTTATGATCCAAGGATTAAATTGGATATAAAACCTAATTTTTAGATAATTAATAGTTGTTGTAAGTTATCATAAAAAAATTTTTATTTATAAATGATTTATAAATTCAAAATTTTTTTTAAAAATTTATAAATTTTTTATGAGTTAATGATCTATTTTAATCTTAAAAATGAAATAACTTCTTTTACTCATATTTTTTATTACTAAAAAAGGGTTATCATTGAAGGATTAAATAAGATATAAATTTAAAGAGCTTCTATTTGAACTTTCATAAATCATATTTATAATTCATATATTTATATAATATTTTATATAAAAATTATGTTTTATAATTTAGGTCTATATCAAAATATAAATTATATTTTTT